CTCCCGGCGCTGAGACCCTTTTCACGCATCAGCACGTGCTCTCCAGTCAGAAGATCCTCTGATATCTGCACTGCTGGGCTGTCAGGGCAACTAATGCCGGCGGACGGGACCCGGGCCGGATCCGGCCCTGACTGAATCCATTCGCCGCCGGGTACCCCTCCCCACCGACAGATGGCTGGACAACGGGCACAATCTTATCCGCTGGCAATATTGCCACACGGCAGCTGGACCCACTACATCGGTCCGTGCTATATCGAGTGACCACCAGCAGCCGGCTCACGCGCCATTTCCATTGGCGGCAGAAGACAAAGGCCAAGGATGCAAATTGTTAAAAAGTTGCGATAATGCTCTATGTGCAAATAGCTAAAAACTGGGGTTGTTTGTCACGTGAATCAGATTTGCAAACGATTAGCATAAAGCTGTCAAAGTGATAAAAGGCATGGATAAGCTTTCCAGAAAAAGAGAGCTTTCGTGATATCTGCTGCTGAACCTGCTGTTCAGCAGCAGGTACGGCAGTTGACAGCTGGGAACTGCTATTTCCTGCAATCAGCAGGAAACAGCAGGTCCCAACAGTCAACTGTATAAGCTAGTATCAGTACCAGAGCGACAAAATCAACACCGCCCTATGCCTGTAAAAAGCAAATACAAATACTGTCACATACGCACAAGCTATTGACGTTGTGGTCGACACAGGATAAAATCCCCTCCTGTCCCCTTCATAAGCGGATCCTGGGGGGGAGGGGAGGGCCACGAGGCCATGCCCACCCAAAACATTCCCAGAACTTCATAAAAGTTTCGTCTACTTACCGTCTGTTTTAATTTTGATGGTGCGGTATCAAACATTTCTTTCCGTTTCGGAAAAACTTCATGAAGAAATGTTGGCAGCGATTTGAATATGAAAACAGAACGCATGTTGACGCATCTTAGTCATATTCGGCGCAAACATCGTGTTGGGTAAGCATGATAAGCATTTGAGGATAGTAATGACGAACGGTTGCCCCCCCCCCCCCCCCCAAACTCCAGGCTAGATCCGTCCCGGACCCTCTTGCACTCCAACCAAAATTATCCCACGTCGCTCACGAGAGGCCAGGAGCTCACCAGCATGTTCATTAGAGGTTGTACTCTATTTGCATTTACACGTCAGTCCTCTCCCCTGTGGCATTGATTCGGCATACAACATTGGCGATCTGTGAAGCTCGGTTTGAACACCACTGTTTAACTCTGAACAGGAAACGTCAAAACGCAATTTGACCGCGTGCTTACCCAGCGGTATGAGCAGTCGGCGCGTGCGCATGCGCATGCGCACGCAGGCATCTCCGAGATGTCCATTGAAGCGACAGCGGGCCGGATGCCCGCTCTCGCCCGCGCTTGGTCACACCCCGCTGCTTCACACAGGATGCGAGTGATTCTGAAGGCGGCGTCTTTGATCCTGCACCTGTCACAAAGGTGGCGTCTTTGATCCTGTACCTGGCAGAAGGCGGGTCTTTGATTCTGCACATATCAGAAGGCGGCGTCTTGGACCACACCCATGTTACAAAGACCGCGTTTTTGATCCCGCATCCGTCACGAAGGCGCTTGATTTTGGCGCCTTCGAAAGCGCCACGAAGGGGCCTGAAGATCTTTGATCTGCACCTGTCACGAAGGTGACGTGTTTGATCCTACAGCTAGTTACGAAGGTGGCGTCTTTGATCCTGCACCCTTCACGAAGACGGCGTCTTTGATCCTGCACTTGTCACGAAGGCCGCAATAGCACGCGCATCACTTCCGGCTCTCAGGTGGCCTTGGCTGGGGATTGTCTCACCGGTCGGATGTGGAATGTGGCCCACGGACCCACACCCGGCGAATCGTCGCCTTTGAACTTGGGACCATTACAACAACCTGTATTACTACTGCTTTTGCAATGTGCGGCAGGACCATTGAAATCGGGCTCGAGTGGGTGTCCTTTACTGCGGCCGAATCTTTTAAGTCAAGCTTGTGGTCGTTTAGCACCCGTGTGGTTGTGGACGTGAGTCACAGCAGGGACAATGGACGCCCCTCTTTCTGGGTATGCGCGTTCCTGTTTCTCAGTTCTCTTGGGGCTTGAGTCGAACAGCGGTACGGTGTGTTTCACCTGCCAGACATCAAAACGCTGTGGTGTGCACCAACAGACACGGCCAATTGCACAGATTTGGCTGACCGTGCGCAGTCGCGTGCTACTCCTTTGCGTAATACGAAACATTCAGCCTAACATCCAGCCAGATCCCGACACCGCCTAACACTCAGCCAGATCCCCGGCACTTCCTCAAAAACACAAGCACAGAACCAACCTAAGGAACTCCTCATTTCGCGAGCTCCATACCAATCACGACACCTCGCTGCGCGGGGTGCCGAAGTCACGGGCGTAAGTAGAGCCGGAGAGCTCCAGGTCCGGCTGCCGCCACTCAGCCGCTGCCGACCGCTGGGCAGTGTCACATGCGCTGACGGCCGTGCGTTCAGAGGAGGGAGGGGGCAGCGCGACAAAGATCGGCAGTCTAGGCATGGCTCACACCCTTCGTCACCTCTGAATCTCCGGTGGTCACCGGCCCCCCCCCCCCCCGGTCGTTGACCCGCGGCAGGGCATGCCCACACCCCGGGGCAGTGTTGATCTGCCTTCCAACGGTTGTCGCTGGAGCGGAGCTGAAGAGGAGCATGGTGGAGGGAGAGGTCCCGCGTCATTCGTGTGTTCAGCGCTCTGGCCGGGATGTAGTGTCCTATCAATTTGGGGAGGCAGGGGACGTTCCTACTTTTAGCTTCAGCACTCCGAACTTTGACGATAAAGTGGGCCAAATATGTGGAGAAACTCCTTGTTGTCGACTTTTGGGGTGGATTTCGTCATTTTTCCACTGCATCCCCCCCCCACACACACACTCATTTTGCGACCGGGGCTGTTTTGTCTGACACCACAGTGTTTGTGTGTTTCTTTTCTCGTCACTCATGGGGCGTGAACCCATCATTCATCCGTCTCGCCTGTCGGACCTCCATATATTGTTTGCGTGTATGTCCGTCCGTCATCCCTCTGTCATCCGTCTTTCATCCGTCTGTCCCACACGTTTGTCGAAATGGCGTCTGCGCGTCGGCCGGCCGACCGCCCTTCACATTCGTCACCCGCGCACTAGAGTACGCGAATGACGTCATTCACGCCTCGTCATCTTTCCTTGCATCACTCTCGTTCGCCACTCGCGCACCCGTCTGAGGCGTTTCCCGCATGCTTGCCGTCCGCGCTGGCCCCCCCCCACCCCCCCCCCCCCCCCCTCCGTCATCGCTGTCGACTCTTCGCCTTCACGCCCGCCCAGCCGCGGTCTGATTGCCAGCGGCGCCCGTGGCCTCCGGCCCCGACACCGGCCTGCCCCGCCAGCACAATAGGCCTCCATTGTGAGCCCGCTCCTCGGCGGAGCTCTGCAAGAGGCCGCGCTCGGCTATTTGGTGGCCTCGTTTCGTCATCGACACCCGGCGTAGCGTGCCGAGACCGAGGCCGAGCCGGGTCCCATCAGTCCCGCCTCAGCCGGCACTTCAGCGGCCGGCTGCATTGACACAGCGTCCCCGATGCATCTCCTCACCGCTGGCCACAGCCGGCTGCATCCGCCGGTCCAAGCCTGAGCTACTAGCGGCGCTGGCGATGAGGCCATAGGCCCTGTCATTCAACGCAGGCAGTTACGGCGCCTGTTTGCCTGTAATTAGGACATCCCACAGTCGATTTTGCTTGTTTGCGAACGCAACTACGAAAACGACGCCGGAAAAGTGATGCATCTTTGCAAACATCTGTTTTGCATTTTTGCTCTCCTGTTCTCCCCATCTCACACCGCCTCGCCACCTCCTTCACTCCTTCTTCCCCTCCCCTCTCTCTCTCTCTCTCTCTCTCTCTCTCTCTCTCTCTCTCTCTCTCTCTCTCTCTCTCTCTCTCTCTCTCTCTCTCTCACTCTCTCCCTTTCCATACATTTCTCTGTGTGTCTCTATCTCTCTTTCTTTCCTCTCTCTAACTACCTGTCTTTCCACCCTACACCCTTCCACCTCGCTAACTCTACATCTCTCCGTCTGTCAGTCTCTCCATCTTTCCCACCCCTTCTCCTTCCTTCCTGCCAGTTCCCTAGCTCTCCGCCCTACCCTGGGCTCGCAGCAGCCTCCAGACGGCAGCAATCTCCGCCCAGCTGTTCGGTGACCTCCCCTGCTCCTCCGCCAGAGGTGTTGACGCACAACACCGCCAGCTCGTTTATTCGTCAATCGTGTCAATCGCCCAGCACCAGTACCTCTCCAAACGCCGGAGGGTGGCGCCAGGGGAGGCTGATGAAGCGCTAGTGACTGCTCAGCGGCTCCAGGGTAAAACACTACTCGCCGGTGGGCAGGAGTGCCTCCTCCACCCCCCCCCCCCCCCCTCCCCCCCCCCGCTACCTCGCCCACTAGCGACCCTGACCTTGGGGCGACTGTTGCCTTTGGCTGACGGCTGGCCCGGGACGAGGGCTCGGGTTCAGGGCGTCCGACGCCGGCAGGTGGATGTCTCGTGCCCCTCCCCTCCCCCTCCCTCTCCGGGCGGCGTGACCAGGACGCAGTCGGTGACTCGAGGCGGGAGGGGGGGGGGGGGGGCTGCACGTCTCGCGGCCACCGAAGCGGTGGTGCCGGTGATATGTTTGAGGCTGTGACAAACACCAAGCCCTCTGGTTAATGACAGGGTTTATGACAGTGACAGTGACAGGTGACAGTGACAGGGCCTAGTGACAGTGCTTCAGTGCCGTCATCTCACGGTTGGTAGGCTGTGGATTCAAGTCAAACTGCTGCGGCCCTGTCGATTCCAGCGCACCACTCAGATGCTGCCACCTAACGGTGACCTTAAATGTCGCAGGCGAACGGTGGCAGTCCTGCCGAGCGGGTCTGTTTGACGGTGCCGCCACCTAACGAAGCTTTGTGACACGTCACGTAAACAGCGGCAGTCCTGCCGAGCAAGCAGGCTTGACAGTGAGAGCCATCTAACGGTGAACTCCTGCACTGCAGGTGAACGGCGGCAGTCCTGCTGAGCGGGCCGGTCTGAGGGCCGGCGACGCCGTCATCAGCATCGGCGGGCAGAACGCCATCGAGATGCGCCACAAGGAGGCGCAGGACTCCATAGTTCGCTCCGGCAACAACATCTGCATGGTCGTCCAAAGGTGGGGAACTGCGGGGATCAGCAGCCGACGTGCCGCGTCGAGCGCTGCCGCTCGGAAGCAGAGTGGAGCGCCCGGGCTCCCGCGGCAGGGGGTACCCGCAGCGTGGCTGCCAGGCACGCACTGCTGACCGCCGACCCGACGGACGCTTGGCCGTCTGTCGTCAAGGTCTACTGGCTGGAGTCATCCGGGAGACGGAGACCACTACAGCGGCGCGTGCGCAGACGACGGCAACGTCCCGTGTGCAGATGGCGACGACGTCCGGTGTGCAGATGACGACGTCCCGTGTGTAGATGGCGACGATGTCCCGTGCGTAGATGATGACGACGTCCCGTGTGCAGATGGCGACGTCCCGTGCGTAGACGACGACGTCCCGTGTGTAGACGACAACGACGTCCCGTGCGTAGACGACAGCGTCCCGTGCATAGATTACGACGACGACGTCCCGTTGGCAGAGCGCAGCAGCGCAGCCGCTCCATTCCTGGCTTGCGGTCCATTTCGACCTCTCATCACCTGACACAAGGCTGGATGGGGGCCAGTCGGCTCAAGCCGCTACCCGCCCTCACCCATCAACCGACGTAGGCGCCTGTGCAGACAGCCGGTGTGTTCCTCTCAGTACAACCCTGGGAAGGTGGCCTGCTGTCCAGTTCGCCCTCACCTTGAGCCGACCTGTCAGGCATGGTCGTCAACCAATTATCTGACCGGTCCCACCCGCCACCTGCCACGACCCCAGCAGGCACCAGGGTGTACTTGCGGCGTCCCGTGACGATACGTGCCTCCTGCCGTGTCCATCCTCGTGACTTTACGATTCCCCATTGTGTCTATCCCCACGAAGCTACGAGCCCCGCTGTGTCCATTTTCCTGTGACGTCACGAGCCCCCTCCTTGTCATTTCCCGTGACGTCACAAGTCTCTGCTATGTCCTTTCCCATGACGCCACGAGTCGCCGTTGTGTCCCTCCCCGTGACGTCACAAATCCCCGCTGTGTCCTTCTGCGTGACGTCACGAGTCTCTGCTGTGCCTTCCGCGTGACGTCACGAGTGCCCGCCGTGTCATTCTACGTGACGTCACGAGTCCCCTTAGTCCTTCCCCATGACGTCACGAGTCCCCGCTGTGTCCTTCTGCGTGACGTCACGAGCCCCGCTGTGTCCCTCCCCGCGTCCCCATCTCGGCGGGACCTCTCGGCGGAACCCCGCCCGGTGCCGTACGCCAGCCGGGCGCCAAGTTTGCGCCGCGTATTAATAGCGCTTGGCCCGCTGTGCGCTATTTCCACCGCCGGGGTGGGCAGAGGCACGCCCAGGCCGTCGGGCATGGGGAGGTAATGTGATGGCCTCGTGAGCAGGCGCATCGGAACGTGCCAGGTTGCAAGGCCCTCTGAATCGACTCAATGGTGAACCTGTGCACCAGGCGCCGGCGCTTTGCACTGAGGCGTTTGCCTGAAGGCTGGACGAATTCGGCGGTAGTCGGTGTTTATGGCTTGGAGAGGGAGACAGGCGAAAGGAAAAAAGTGGAAAGCGGAGACGCGCTTTCCATGCAATTTTATCAGCGCTTCCTGGAAATATATCTCCCGGCCCCCACTAAACCATTCTACACCCCAGCCAGCTGATTGGCGCAAATGGCTGTTACGTCATCGGCGCGTCTCGGTGGTGATTGGTGGCCGGGCGATCTGAGCTGATCTGGGTAAACACGCACACCGCCAGCAGACGGACAGCGCAGGGAATTAGCTAATACCATTTGGCAGCGCCATTTGGAAGCTGGATGATGATGTCTGCACTTCGGGAATACTTCGGGCAAGGGAGACTCTCCGACACGAGTTCTGAAAGCTTCTGAATAGGATCGAACTCCTGCTTGCAAATGAAAATTAGCCTGCCCTCATCCATCCATGTTGTTATAGCATGCATTATACTTTCTTGTTGACCTCGTATTGCTATTATATTACCAGCTGTTATGCCTAATTCTCTTTTCTTTTGCACACTTCCTTACCATCGATAACCTGCCGTTAATTGCGTCAATCACCTACTTCTTGACGTTCACGTTAAAATAATAATCTACCGCTTCCCACTCTCACCTCAACTTATACCTGCCTCACCTAATGCAAAGGCCCTAAACCCAGCATTTAAGAGTCACGACCTGTTGATAATTCAATTCGAATTTTCAAGTTGAGAATTGGTGTGGATTTAGATGCAGACATTGACCGCGGATGTTGGTTACTCAGCATACCCACCAACACCTGAAAGGCTGTACGCCACGTGCAAAAATCACAAATTTCTGTCATTGCTAAGAGCAATGCCCACACGTGTCGACCCGTGGCAGCCGTCCTCATCGACCACCTATCGACAACAGCGCCATCAGGGGGCAACACTGCCAACCTGAAGTGTGTTAGACCACCGCCGCCCATCGGCGGCACGTTTGGCCCCGGGCCAGCGTTCTGTCTCCGGATGGCGTTAACTAGGCCTCCGTAATCAACGCCTCCCTCTTGTTCCTCAGCGGCTGTGTTGGAACTGCACCCAAGTCAACATTGTGCGTTCAAAGCCAATTAGCATGCGGGAAACCTGTCTGTGTTTGGATTGAGCTGTGCACGTGCTCGCCACTGTGTACGACATGAGCGTACAAAGACTCGCGAGTGGGATGTCATGGAGCTGAAGGAAGACGCCTCCACACTGCTAACGAAAACAGTTCTGACTATCTTATGGGGTGCAAATATAATTTAGTTGAAAGCAGCCTTGCTAGTCGCTTTTTGGAGCTCTTCTCATGACTCTGAATGCTATATTTTGCCTCCCGAAACTCAGCGGCGACGGCCGGTTTTGCGGTGGAACTGCATGGGCGTATTTACCGCCAAGGCCGGTAGGATGCGGACCCCAGTTATCTGCCCGTATTTCCTTATGCCGCATCCTTACCCTCGTCGACGTACGCCATCCTTATTTTTGTCCCCATTCCGGCGTCATCCTGCATCCTCGCAGGACCCCGTGTGTCCGGGGCCGGCTGCGTGCGCCAGCCGTCAGTGGACGAGTGCCCTCTGGTGGGCCCTGTCCAAGCACGAGTGCCCTCTGGGTGGCCCCGTCCAAGCAGGAGTGCCCTCTAGGTGGCCCCGTCCGAGCACGAGTGCCCTCTAGGTGGCCCCGTCCGAGCACGAGTGCCCTCTGGGTGGCCCCGTCCAAGCACGCGTGCCCTCTAGGTGGGCCCCGTCCGAACACGAGTGCCCTCTGGGTGGCCCCGTCCAAGCACGAGTGCCCTCTGGGTGGGCCCCGTCCGAACACGAGTGCCCTCTGGGTGGCCCCGTCCGAGCACGAGTGCCCTCTGGGTGGCCCGTCCGAACACGAGTGCTCTCTGGTGGGCCCCGTCCAAGCAGGAGTGCCCTCTGGTGGGCCCCGTCCAAGCACGAGTGCCCTCTGTCGGGACCCCATCCCAGCACGAGTGCCCTCTGTCGGGACACCTTCCCAGCACGAGTGCCCTCTGTCGGGACCCCTTCCGAGCATAGGACACGTCTGGAGAGGAGTCCCTGTGCGGGCCTGGTCTCGGCGGGGGCCTTCACGGGTGGGTGTAGTCCTGCCCACCGCTATCCACTCTTCTCCATTCCACAGCCCTGGAATGGTAGCTGCGGACCGAAGGCACTCATGTCCAAGCCAGACCTAGACCCAAGTTACTTTGACGCATAGGTAGCCATTTCTACCGTTGCGAAATAAATAGCACAATGGAAGATCGAACTGCCGTAAATATTCGATAAGGACATCACTAGCATTGGAGTAGGAATGGTAGTATTTGGGGTTTAAGGGGCGCGTCGACTGCATCTGTCATTTAACGCCCCGATGCGTAGTTATGCAACTGGGTGGAAGGGGACGAGACATGATCTTATTTCTAAGGAATGTTATCAGCATGTAGGATACCGCGTTATAAGTAGGCGAGTGTTCGTGGTTATCGCTGTTACACCATCACTCTTGCGTATTTACTTTTGGCCAAACCAATTTGGTGGCGAACATGGCATGTAACGCCACATCTAGTGCTTAGTATCGGACTACTCCCCACCCCCAATCCCCCCCCCCACCCCCACCCCCACCCCATCCCACCTCCTCCTCTGGACTACTCTGGAGTCGTTGCCATGCGACTATCTCTCCCTGCCCACTATCCAAAGCACCCTGGCAAAACCCAGAGCAAAGGACCGATCCAGTGTCCGGCCAACCCCCCCCCCCCCCCGCCCCCTCCCCCTGCTCATGATGTCCTGGACCTCTAAATGCTGCGCCCATTGCCAGCTGGACGACGGTTTTCCCCGCTTTCCGACGTTAAAAACGGTCCTGCCGTCTTGGCACGGGCCGGCGGCCGGCCGGACGCGTCGCCTCGGGCGTCGCCGGCGGCGATGTCGCGCAGTCCGGCGGCGACGGTCGGCGGCGAGTGACCCCGCGCCCGCCGCGCACGCGCAGAGGTCAGGGGGCACGGCTCGACGGCGTCGCGGGCGGTGTGATCAAAGCGCCGGCGGCGTTGCGGCGCCGAGACGATGAAGTTTCCGTGTCACGTGAGCACGACCCGGGACCGGGGTCACTCTCACACGGATCATGGAAGAGCTGCACAGCCTGGGTAAGCGAGGGCCGATTGGCAATGTCACTTGCGGCGCACGCGGCACACGCTACTGGTGCAGTTAACTTTAAGTTAACGTTAACGATAATGTCGAGCGCGCACGTTAACGTTCACGCCAACGTGTGGGGTCTGCTGGCGAGCATCGCCAGCGCCTGCCAGCCGTCAGGAAAACGACAACGTGCACCACCACGGGCGCAGCCGGGATTTTCTGAAGGGAGGAACCCAGAGCTTGGTGAGCACGCTTTACGCTGATGTTGAACTATTTCCTGGGAACCATCCAGAGTAAAAAACGATAACTCCAGGACTCAGGGAGGGTCCGCCCCACCGCCGGGTCCCTCCCTTGGCTGCGCCCCTGTTCGTCGCTCTGAATGGCGGCTATTGAATGCCGGTTTACATCACAGCGTGGAAATGGGGGGGGGGGGGGATGAGCAGAATACCGCTGGTGCCAGGCACAGACAGGGTGAGGAACTGGACAGCGGCATTGGGGTAATTCTCACCGCGTATCATTACTCAGCTTTCTGGTCAGGCAGGTCGGATTCTTTGCGCGTCTTGGAGATCATCAGGATGGCTGTCTGGCAACCGCTAGCATTTGTGAGATAAATGGTGAAGGTGATGTCCTTTTCCAACGTGAGACGTGTGGGGGGGGGGGGGTTCGACGTGGGGCAATTTTGGTACACAAGTGTGGTGGAACACACGGTGGTCTCAACAGTGTGCTGGTAGGGCTTGCACTACAAAAGCATAAGAGGAGTTTCGGAAATAATACTCGTCTCTTTCCAAACTAAATGTCATTCTCGGTATCACGTTCTATAGTGCATGGCAGTGTGTCGTTCGGGGTAATTCCTTTATCCTCAGGCAGATATGAGATATGACGTACGACCCCAACGACTCCAATCTCACCGTACGTTCTCGCCCCATGACATTTGTTGACACCGATCTCAGCGTCGGCTCTCACGGGCCTCATCTGTGTGAATGAGAGCGTAAGAGCGATAGCTGTTGCCGCAAGGAGTGTGCACAAGATAATTTATGTAATGATAATTTAGATAAGTTATTATATACAGATAATTTATGATAATTAATGACAAGGATCGGAATGAAAGCAGCGGGATTTTGTGCCGTAGTTGTTTTGCTGGCCACAGACCAGATCATACCTTCCTGCGATCATTGAACACAGTGCAGTTTAGTTGGAGCACCCTCAGTAACACACTTTGGTTGCATTCGATGCACTGCTTTTGTAGTTTACTCGGTTTTGCAAAAATGGTGGCGATGTCATACAGCGGAACAGTTACATCAACTCATATTTACCAAAATAAGCACACATTCCAACTCTCAAAAAGCGCGTTTCAATAGAATATGGCTGCTAATCATGCTGTACGAAGGGTCTACTTGTTAATTTTTGGCTGTAAGCACCATCTAATGCTTTTTGCGTTATTGTGTATATTGTTTGTGTTATATAAATTGTGTTGGGTAAGGTGGATCCACAGCTGACGACGCTAGGGATATAGCAGCTTCCTATCTCGGAATTTTTCGCCTTTTTCGACTTTCGACCCTGAGACAGTGCCACTAAGGTCAGAGCTTATTTCTTGGTGTCAGGAACAAAACCGAACAAGGTAAGGATGTATGAGGCGATGCGGACGTGGACCTAAGGATTTACGCTAGCCTGCATTGCCAGTTTTCGCCGTCAAAAATCACGCACATTACCATCTGAAGAAATTATTCTCGTGACCTACGATTTGGGGACCGTTTTTTCCATCATTCTCATGTGGTTAACACAGGCTTAAGGTTAGAGTGGGTAGAAGATTGAGTGTCCTAAGCGTAGCTGGAGTCTTGGGGTGCCATCTTGGGCTCGACTCCGTATTAACTACCTCACCTCATCCACCTTGCGTGTATTTGTATCACGTGTATTCGCACGTGGTCTCACCATCTCACCTCACTTTGGCAGCAAATTAAAGTCGCCCCCTGCTCCGCACGCTGAAGATCGAAAGATGTTCGATAACCCGTCGCCAGCTCCGCCCATTCCATTAATGACGTCATCGGCACCAGATGGGCTGCGATGACAGGCGCTGACGGCGGAATGAAGCGCAACCTGGATGTCGCAGTCGGCTGTGATTGGTTCGCATCAGCTGATACTAGTCATGCAAGCTGGAGCTGGGTACGCCCACCCAGGGCTGAACCATATAGAGCGAGTGAAGCTGGCATATTGAATAAGAGGAATATAATGGCTTGTCAACATGCCATTCGCGCCTAAGCGTTCAGAAAAAAAACTGCCTGGGTGCAGGCATATAGCTCCTATTTTCAGTTCGCTTTCTGTAATACTTGCCACGCGGTGGACACCAAATCTCGGGAAATCGCTTCCATCATTCCGTGCACGCTGTAATATTGCCAGACGTGGTTGATGACGAAGGTTATATGATACCAAATTTCCGTTGAGTGCATGTGCGCTCTAGGACACGACTGTTTTGCTTGCTCACCTAGGAACCCTCAGCGATTTGAGATCTCTGAAGCTCCGTCCCCGCCCCGTTGTTGTCAGGTACCGCGCTGCGACATCGATGACCTTGCCGTAACCTCTGGGCCCGTGCCACCGCCTGCGGCCACCTGCGTCTGGGCGCATTGGTGACGTGTGTGTGGGTGTGTGATGCAGTTGGAAACAAAAAGAACAAGCATTTTGTGGTTATAGTTTGAGCTGGTCAGATTCAGGTGGGGCGTCAAAGAAATCAAATTACAATGCTCCGCTTAAAAAAACGAACTATCTCGAATGTGTCGATTATCGAGCAATTGTGTTAAGCATGGCACAGTGCCTCGCACGTAACTGTTCAGCACGCGCGGTGATCATGATCTGTACGGGCAATCAACGAGGGCATTTTTTCAGAAACGACGGAAATGCCAGCTCCCGTATGGAATGTCAGCGTCCGTGTGGAATGTCAGCGCCCGTGTGGAATGTCAGTGCCCGTGTGGAATGTGTGACGTCACGAAATGAGAGTTGGCGTTCTGACCATCTGACTATGGTGTCGGTATTGGCGATGGCGTTCTGGCCATGACGGTGTCGGTAGTGGTGATGGCGTTCTGGGCATCACATTGTCGGTAATGGTAATGGCGTTCTGGGCATCACAGTATCGGTAGTGGTGATGGCGCTCCGGCCGTCACAGTGTCGGTAACGGTGATGGCGTTCTGGCCATCACGGTATCGGCTTCCGGGCGGAATGACAGTATCAGTGGTGCACAACTTAACAGGTGAAACTGGTACGGAAGAAACTTCACGCTTGGGGAAACTGGTACAGCCCGGAACATGAACACGTAGCTTTGTTTGAACCTCAATGCTTGAAATCGGTGCCAGCTGGACCACAAGGCGTGGAGAAGGGGGCAGAGTCAAAACAGGGTGTGGGGAAGAGGCAATGTCAATACGTCTACCCAACTTGAAAGTATTTGAACATTTCCGCCGACAGCGTTCCATAAAGAGAGGCACCTCAAAAGTATTCCATGCAAGCTTGTCAAACAAGATGATGACTTGTGCTGTAACCGCTAAAAATGTCAACATGTTTTCAGTTGGAATGGAATGAAGATATCTTCTACGTGATTGAGGTTATTAAGCCTATCTTGAGCCGCTTTTTGCAGAGATGGCACATCTTTTCAAAGAGTTTGTGGTAGCCGTTGCATCCTGCCGTTACGTCCTTCCATTTCAAAAAATAATTCCAGCCTTATGACATTTCGTCCAAAAGCAGCAAGCTTTTCTCCCCTTCCCTGCCCTCCGTTTTTCGAGACGACGCGCCGCGTCTGGTGACAGGAGGACGCTTATTGCTAGGTCAAACCACGCAATTCTAGAACTTACCGCAGCCTTTCGAGTGCTGATAACCCAACTATAGATCGTCCATCAGTGCGTGGTTGGCGTACACGCTTTCCCTTCATCCAGTATCCCTCTGCCAACCGTTCCCATTCTAGCGTTGCCAAGCCCCACCCAATGTCCCCCAATCCTACCCGACGTTACTCATTCCCTACCCAACGTTCCACAGTCCCCACCTAACGTTCTCTAATCCCCTCAACGTTCCACAGTCCCCACCTAACGTTCTCTAATCCCCTCAACGTTCCACAGTCCCCACCTAACGTTCTCTAATCCCCTCAACGTTCCACAGTCCCCACCCAACGTTCTCTAATCCCCTCAACGTTCCACAGTCCCCACCTAACGTTCTCTAATCCCCTCAACGTTCCACAGTCCCCACCTAACGTTCTCTAATCCCCTCAACGTTCCACAATCCCCACCCAACGTTGTCCTGCGGAACGTCGCCGTGACCTCCTGCCACAGCGCGTCCCGCCCTCCCCCGATGGAACCTCGGTGTGCTTCGCTCCCTGTGTGGAGCGCCTGTGTGACGCGCCGTTCCTGGTTTCAGGGGTGGTCTGGCCTCGCTCCGCCTGCCGCCGAGTGCCACCAGTGTACCCAAGGTGAGCCCGGGTCAAGGGTCAGGTCAGGGCCAGGTTAGGGGTCGGGCGAGGGACAGTCGTGGTGCTGCGTTGTGTCGATGCATGCAATACAAGAAGGTGGAGGCAAGAGTGCGTCGGGTTTTGACCGAAAAACCGAGGATGGTTCTTTACGCAAGAGCGATGCCTGCAACTCCTGCAAGAGAATCGGCCATGTCGGCGACGTCGGCAGGCGCTGCTCACGGGCTTGCATACAGGTGCGGTGTGGACTGGTGCTGATGAGGTAGGTACTAACCTTCGTGAGGGAGTGAGGTGCCCCTGGAAGAGCTACACTGGCCCCGACGTGAGTGAGCATGATGACACTGATAACAGACCACGACAACGCGGCGAGGATGCGCGCTTACACTCGGGGGAGAGTAGACTGACGCCTTTGAAAGGGAGTATACTGACCCTCCACGACAACGCGGCGAGGATGCGCGCTTACACTCGGAAGAGAGTGGACTGACGCCTTTGAAAGGGAGTATACTGACCCTTGTGTGTGACTACGCTGACGCCGGTGAAGAAGCAATGATCCCGGCGAGATGAGAAAGTGCCAGATCCTGACGGATGGGAGTGTGGTAACCCTCGTGTGTGACTTCATTGACACCAATGAAGAGGCATTGACCCCGGCAGGCGGTACCATGTTGACTCTGTGTGTGATAACATCACGGATGCTGAAGTCTCCGCCGCCGGCGAGGGTCGGTGATTACTTGTTATTACTGTTAAACCCGTCTTCCATGGGAGGGAGTGCACTGACCCTTGTGTGTGACTACACCGACACGGGGCGCATCACCGATCCCAGCGAGGCGCAGAGCTCACTGACCCCGCGGCCTCTGTAGGACGCGCCGGACGCTGCAGCTGCCCCGCAGCAGCAGCAGCAGCAGCAGGTGCAGCAGCAGGCTCAGCCGGCGGAGCACCCGCACCCGGTAGGCGGGCGATTCGGCCGGTTCCCCCCGGACCCAGCCCGGCCGCGGCTCTGCTGAAGGAATGGGCATGCGGCGGCCATGTGACGGAGCCGCCGGCGCTGGCGGCGCTGCACTTTGCTGAGGCCGCCAGCAGCGGCGCGGGCGCATGCTGTGTCTTGGGAGTTGGAGTAGAGTATAATTGCACTCTGGAGTAGAGTTACACTCTGGAGTATAATTACACTCTGGGGTAGAATTATACTCTAGAGTAGAGTTACACTCTGGAGTAGAGTTACAAGCCGGAGTTACAGGAGTTGCACTTGAGTAGAGTATCAGTAGACTGATGAAAAGTGATGGCGTAGAACCGTAGACATGGCCGGCGTGCGTAGATGAGGCCTGACACAGAAAGTGGAGCTGTTGGTTGACAAACGTGGAGAACGTTAGTGCTTGATCAGTCGCAGCAATTGCATGTTTGGACATCGCGATGCATGCATCCTTGCGACGGTTTTCATGTCAGACTGCAGGTTTATCCCAAATTTCAAGCTCAGGTGCGGTGAAGGAAGTGAAAGCGTGTCAGCGCCGTGAAATTCAAGGACGGAGGAAAGCTTTTCACCCTCACGCAAGACTGAGCTTCAGTGATATTTGGACCGTTTTGAGACAGACGTAGGTAGAGGGACTGGCACAGCAGCGTATTTCTTCTTTTCTTCGCTTGCCTCAACACAAACACTGGCTGATGCATTAGATGACTCAGTGCCATCATTGGTGCCAGCTGCAGATCAATGCCGCGATTATGTCTGATTGAGGGCTGTGCAGAACGAGCACTCTGTCTCTTACCGGGCCCGGCTCCGCTCTCCTGCTCGTAACGCCGCCCCGTGTGCACCTGCCCACCCATCGCCAGCTAGCGCGTCACGCTCTGCAACTTCACGGCGGCATCTTGGTCTGCACCTTCCCCCTCACCCTCGCCCTCACGCTCCCCGCCCCGAGGAACGCACGACAGCTGGAACGGAACCCGCCGCCCCGCCCCTACCCCAACCACTGCTCTCGCGTATCGTTGATAAATGGGGCAGCCAGGGGCGGGGCATTTGCTTCTGATGTCATCCCATGGACGGTGGTGATTGGTGGGGAGATCAGGCTGGGTCCGCCGACTGCGTGGCGTTGCCAAGCAACTATTTATTTCCCGGAGCTCGTCCGGGGCGTGTTAAAGAAAACATCCGGGCGCGAGGCTATTTTAGGATTCCTATGAACGCATCGATATGCGTGCAAACGAGTTATTTCAACACTTCAAAAATGGAGGCGGGCGCTAAGAGATAATTGGATCAAAAGCAGTTCATTTTCACCTCACCGTGCCAGAATTTCGCGTGCATTGTTGTGGGCTGATGTTTTTTATAATAAATGTATGCTTGTTTCCCTCTCTATAGCCGTATTCTGCCTGTGCCCTTGGAAATATCATTGTGACGCACCGAGAAACAAGTGGACTTTGCTATGAGCCGCGTTTTCTGCGATTGTAGGCTGCGAAGAGAATATGGGAAACTGCGCTGATGTAGCGCACTGACCAAACAACTTAATCATAAGCGAAGCCGCGGGATAACAGTCTGCCTTAGTACGCATCATATGAGCGAAGCCGCAGGATAACAGTCCGCCTCAGCACGCGTCATATCATGAGCAAAGCCGCAGGATAACAGCCTACGTCAGCACGCATTTGCGATGCTTTGACACATGCTCGGTAACGTGAAGATTTTAATCCCTTTCCTGAGGAAGGGGGGGGGGGGGACGGGAAAGCGATGAGACCCCTCCTTGATGTTTTTTAGATGTCTCTCCGGCATGTCGTGCAATCACCCCCAATTTTCGCCGGCTAAGACACTCATTGCGCGCGTTTTCGATCCACGGCTGGTGCGGGCGGCGGGCGGCAATCAACTGCTGGTGCCGGTGGGTCCATCGATTCGACGAATCCACCAACCGCCCGCTGTGGGCCGATACCGTCACATTGAGGAGACCCATGTCCTTAATGTACTAACAATGGAGACCTTTATCTTCATTGTACTAACGATGGGGACTTATATCTTAGACGTAATGACATAGCACACAAAGCGGATAAATGTGCTTATAATTAAACAAGGAACACGTTTGTGTGAGCTTCCTGTGCCACATGGCGTGGTTTCGTAAATATTGGCATGTAAAGCTGAAATCATACAATTTGCAGGACAAAATGGCATTTGACCTGACATAATAGCGTAAATTATTACGCTAGCACCATAGAAATGATGGCCAGTGGCAAGATATCGCAGAGACCGATCCAACTTTTACTTGTGAATTTTTTTGCGGTGCGTTATCATTCTTAGTTTGGAAATGGCGAAGGGTCGCATCGACCCCTCTGCCCGTCTGCGATATGAAAAGGGGCGAATCAGAGCGACGGTTTAAGTCTTGAGGGCTGTACACAAGGCGTTGACAACGTGACCTTTCAATTCGAGTAATTAAAATTTTAGCTCAGAATGTCACGGCTACTGCCGTACCTCACCCCCAGCCAATAAAAAACGACGGTGGCGCGTGATTGGTCTGACTTGGACGTTTGGACGCCAAGTGGCCCTACGCCAATATCTAGCGGAGCTCTGCTGCCGTCATCTCAAACATTGCAGCGTTTTGTCCCAGGCTCATCACAGTTTGGAGGCCCCCGGTCCCAGCATTTGCGTTGCATCGCATTGCATTGAACACGTGACAGGATGGCGTTTCAACTTCCAGCTCTGCTTTGTTCCCGCCAGGGATATCCTTTACTTTGCAGTTGCGGGGGGGGGGGGGGGGGTGGGTGCTCCCTAACTTGTACTCCAGTCCCCATAACCTTGAGAAAAAAGTCGGCCAAACACGCGGAGAAAACTGTTAATCGGTGTATTTTGCAGAAAGGTTGTAACTTTTTTCACTGTTTATCCACTCTCAGCTGTCTCAACTCATTTTGAGAAGCACTCCCCAGATTCTGGGCGCGGTCTCCCTCACCCAAGATGCTCTCCTGTTCCTGTGTGGTCCGTCATATGCATTGCAAGGGCGCAGTAAGACAATTATTTTGTGTGCGGGGGGGGGGGGGGGGGGGCAGAACGCTGAAAATGGCACAACCTCCTACGAAAATGCGCCACAAACGGGTTTCTCTCCGGATTTGGCCCCCTTTCTTGTCAAAGCCGGGGGTCTGAAGCCCAAGTTGCCGGAGTATTGAGTGTTGCGCCACCTCGCCATATAGGAAACTCCACCCCTGATACATCGTGCCGTCACCTGCTGCTGCACGTCCGTTGCACGGCATCGCGTACAGCGCACTTGCCGGAGCCTCGACGGCGGCCAAGCGTGGGGCGGGCGGGTAGCAGCGTCCGGATAGACTGCACCGCACGACATCAGAAGGGGGGGGGGGGCGTGAAGAAGAGCGCGCGGATCGGTCGACCCGGGCCGACACCCTGGACACAGACCGGCGTCAACAGAGGGATGGAAGGGGACTGGCAAGGAGAGCTGCTGCATGGAACCTTGAAACGAAGCAAGGTGGAGTGCGCTTGCCACCGCTTCCCCGGCCCCACCTTCGTGTTCAAGATTTTTCCGTCCGCGCGAAGTCTCTCAGAACCCGTGAGCGCTAGAAACCCTGCCGTCGTTGTTGCGGGATGCTCGCGGTCCGGTGTGACGTGCCCCGCGGTCGAGCTCACCTCCAGCGCTGATCAACCGGTGTGAGGTCTGCACCCCGTCCTGTACCATGCTGTCGATACCTCACGATCTGTCCAAAGTGTGCGTATGTGTGTGTGTGCGTTTCTGCGTGGGTTCGTGTTTTGCCTGCCTGACACCCGATAGCTAGAAGTGCGAAGTGGTCCTGGTGTTTTTTTTTTCGGGCGTTGGTGGTCGTTTCGCGCACTTTGGCCTTACGCCGTTGCCCGCCACGTTCTGACGGCGTGCCCGCGGGACGTCAGTTCCGCTGCTTCACCCGTCATCCACGTGTTATATCCGTTCTCTCGTTGGTTTTCCCGGTGCTTTTGATGTATTCAGTGGTTATTTTCACTGTAGCGGCGTTAGAACGTTGTCCCACGTTGGGTTAGCGATCAGCGACCGGGCCCCTCAGCTGCCCAGCTGTCTTCGTCTGCCGCGGCTTACCATCCCTTTCCGGGGTCACCCAAGGTCAGGACACCGCAGGAAAAACCGCTTCTGAGGTTGTGACCCCGTCTGGCCTGACCTTGGCTGACCTCTGGGACCGGTGCGGCTCGCTGATTGGTCCGTCCGCTGTCCACAGCCGGCCCAGCCCCGACAGCGCAACCCCTTCCGAGTGATCAAGGTCAGGTGAAGGTCGTCGGGGTCACGGGCAGGTTATCTTGTGAGGCCATGATTGAGTGTCAGCTGCGTGCGGTGCTGTGTTGAACGAACTGCCTAGCCTTCCGCATGCTACACGGTTTCTTGGCGGTGCTGTATATTCTTTCCTTCCTATCGGCAACGACTGTCGACGCTGGTTTCCATTATGCATGTACGCGAGGACTCCGTGGATATAAGTACCGTGATAGCAAACCGCCCAAGCTCAGAACAAGACTTTGCATGACATCGGGCAATTTAAACATCAAAAGCAAGTGAAAATATAGGTGTTAGGAGAGAACTATTGGCTTCGTCATCCAGTGATGCCGAGGTGGGCGTGCGATTTCACTTCATACCACTCTTTAGACACCGCACAGATATGACGTGTTGTCGGTGCTTGCATTATCATACTATTGCAAAATTGTCCGGATGGATCTGTTTACTTAACGAGTATCATATATCCGATATTATAGTAATATTATATATTACATTATAATTATTTATATATCCGAGAGATCCCGGCAAACGGAAACAACGCACGTATGGATACCCACCTTTTCAAATGTTGGAAGCATCACTGATAAACACGTCAAGCTTACCACAACCACAACACGCAATGTGTCGAGCCTCGATTCATTTTAAGATATAGATGCACGTGTGAAAAACTGTATTCATCGAATATGGATTCCAGGAGGTTTAAACTTGCAGGTGCACACAAACCTTACGCCTGCCACTGATTTACAGGCGACCCTCTGAGTGGGTGACCTTTCCTGATGATTTATGTACCTAGTAATGACTTGTAGTTTGCTGATGACCTGACCCTCCTAGTGACTTTTAAGGTGAATATCATTCCCGACCGTTTAACGGGAAGGTAAGTGTCCTAATGACCTCTGGCCAGCTGATGATCTCTGGTCTGCCGGTGACCCCTGGTCAGCTGGTGACCTCCGGCAGCCACTGCCGAGGTGTTCGTTTAGCGCAATATTTACCACACCTCTGCAGCAGCTCTTCTGACCTGCCGTAGCAACGCCCTTCTGACCGGCCGTTGTGAGGCCCTTCTGACCGGCCGTTGTGGGGCCCTTTTGACCAGTCGTTGTGAGGCCCTTCTGACCGGCCGTCGTGAGGCCCTTCTGACCGGCCATTGTGAGGCCCTTTTGACCGGCCGTTGTGAGGCCCTTTTGACCGGCCGCTGTGAGGCCCTTCTGACCGGCCGTGGTTAGGCCCTTCTGACCGGCCGTGGTGAGGCCCTTCTGACCGTATCACCGGGTCAGGCCCGGCGATGCCTCTGGCGGGGCGAGGTCCCTCTGCCGGCGGGGCGCCCCCCTGACCAGCAGTGGGCGGCCCCCTCCTACAGTTCTCCCCAGACTGGTGGGCCTCGGCTGCACTGGCCTGAGCGTGAGGCGTTAGTGTGGAGTGACTAACGATGTTTGTCGGGCTGACGTATCTATGGTTTTGCAGAGGTGCCAGCGGCGCGGGTATGTATGTAAAGGCACGGCTGTGTGTGACTCAGAAATTGGTTTCGTTTTAGTTGCGACGCCATTCATATGTCATGTCCCCGGAGGGAATGGAAGAAGCCGGTCCTGGAGCTGATCTGGGCATAGTTGCCACTGATGAACGCCATAACTGAAAATTATTATTTACGGTTTCATGAAAGGAGCTCATGACGTTTAAAAACACTGCCACATTCAGAAAAGCTTAATCGTTTATTTTTCTTCTTTTCGATGGAATGCGACGCACATTGTTGCGCACCCTTTGATGGCGCGCCAGCGACTGCAGCGGCCGTATTAGAGCTCAAGGACCGCGGTGCAGCCGAGGTTCAAACCCGGGTCCCCCATGTGGAAACCAAAGGCGCCAACCACTCGGTCATTACGCGCCTGATTGATGACCTCGTATTCCGCGCAAAAATACCGTCAGCGACCGGTGACATTAGCGAGGCAGCCAGCCCAGCTGAGCGGGCGGGCCTGGCCAGCGCTGCTGTCCACCGCGTCAGGCCGCGGCCTCCGGACCGTGTGATTGTTGGCGGGGCTCCTACGCCGCCGCTGGCGCCGGCTCAGTCCCCGTCCCCCGACAGCCGACACCATGTCATTAAACAGGCCGTAGCTGCTCCTGCTCCCGGCCCCACGCGCTGATGGCGGCAGGAATGTTGGCGGATACGCCGCTCTAGACCAGCGGCCTTTGTAGAGTAATGGACGGATAGGCGGCTCACTTGGACGTGGACTGCCATGCTCAATGTTTTTTAGGCAACAATCGCGGCGGAAATATCTGCTACGCTGCTGGCAATGTGAAAAGCTAAGTTTATTCTGAGAGCCCTGAGCTCAAATTTTTACGTTGGAGCCCAATATGTAAGAAATAAAATACAGCAATCTAAGCTTCTTTTCCGTATGGTACGCAGCTTGATCCACGCTCGATAAAAAAACCGTTCGACTCGCTGGAGATGTGAGGTGGGAACTATCTGATGGGTGTCACGCGTCACGTGTCACGGTCCTCCTCCGACGTGCGTCACGTGTTACGGTCCTCCGACATGCGTGGCGTGTCACAGTCCTCCTCCAGCGAAACTCCGTAGCCGCGTGGCCTTGCTACACCGACAACCAGTCAAAACACAGCGTTCATCTTGCGCGCGTCGCCGGCGTTGACAGTGCTGCCACCTGTTGCTGACCGACAGAACTTGGAGACGACGGACGGCTCGGTGAAGGCGCTGGTGCACAACCAGTTCAACTCGCCGATGCCGCTGTACTCGGAGGAAAAGATTGCCGAGACCCTCTCCGCGCAGACAGAGGTGCTGGCTGGAGGGGCACTCGGGTGAGTGCCGCACGTGAAGTGCCGCCGGTGTCGCGTCTGCCGCGCCAGGTGTCGGTCGCCGCGCTACGCTGCCGTTGAAATGGATATCTCGTGGCGAACATGTCAGTCCAAGTCAATGGCAAACGCGCAGATGCCACACCGCATACACACATGCAGTTATTTGAATTTTTCATTACGTTTTCGCAGACACTTCCGTCATGTCACAATACATAACGTTTTGCGTCACAGAGCAATGCAAAGTAGTTGGTGACGTAGACGTAGAATTTACCCGGCCTGCCCAGCACCAGTTGCGGGAGCATCTGAGAGCCTTCACACGTGAATTAACAGAGCTGTTTGAACAATCCTCTTTCATCTTGCAACATATTCCGAAAACCAGTCTTTTTTTAAACCAAGGTCTGTTATGCCAAAGAACGTTATCACGACAAAACTTTGAGACTTTTTATACTCGTTTGCCGTTACGAACCCAGGACCGTAGAAACTCACTCACACAAACGCACGCGCGCGCACACACACACGCACACACACACACACAACACACACACACACACACACACACACACACACACACACACACACACACACACACAGACATACACACTCACACGCACACGTACACGCATACGCAAACACACACACACACACACACACACACACACACACACACACACACACACACACACACACACACACACACAGCCGCTGTGGCCTCATGACCGTGACCGATGGCCGTGACCGGTGACCGTGACCGGTGACCGTGACCAATGGCCGTGACCGGTGACCGTAACCAATGGCCGTGACCGGTGACCGTAACCAATGGCCGTGACCGGTGACCGTGACCGATGGCCGTGATCGGTGTCCGTGGCCGGTGACCGTGACCGGTGACCGTGGTCGCTGAGCCTGAGCTGCCCTGGCGGACGGCAGAGTGAACTTCAAGCGGTACGAGCCGCAGCCGTGGAAGCCGGCCGCCTCCGAAGTCTACAAGATGATCCACGGCGACGACGCCGACTCCGGCCCAGGTCAAAGTCAAGATCGTAGTCGCCGGCCGTGCTCGCGGCGCCCGCAGCATCCGTGCCCCCTCCGCCCCCCTGCCCCCCCCCCCCCCCGCCCACACGACGATACCGTCCCGAGGCTCATCTCTCTCGATGTTGGTTACACTTAAAAAGCCGCTTGCGACACAACCGCTGCAGCGCGAGGTTCTCTCTTGAAGTAGCGTCATTCCGGAGGCTGCCTCGTGAGCTTATCATTTGCTCGGCAGCCACATGAAGCCTCTGCGCTCAATTTCATTTGACGTGGTATCAAACTAGTGATCTATTTAAGTCACGACAGGGGAACTTAATTTCGCCTATAAACTATCTAAGCATGGGAACATATGGCAGAAAACTAGGGGAAAAGTGAGGGAAAGCCGAGCTTGAAAGGCCCCACCGGGAAAAAATGCAACACGGGTGGTAGCGCACCAACAGTTGCCGCTCTCGCTTGGGTGCGGCGCGAGGTCTCCCTGAGCGGACGTGGGCCAGATCCTCCAGATTTTTGGAGCCTTGGAGCCGCTGCCTTTGGGTGCTGGGGTCGAGCCTGGGAGGTGAGGCACACTCTCAACACACGATCAAACCTTCTGACCAGCCCTTCTGGCGCAGGGTCCACCCCAACCTCAGCGGCGGGTCACCGGGGTCACGGGTGTGCTGTACTGGGCGCCGCGGGCCTGACCCTCCTGACCCTGCCGCAGCTGGCCCCCCTCTCCTGTAGTGCCCAGGCCCTCGCCCAGACCGTTGGTGCATCACCGGCTGACCCCCCCCCCCCCCCTCTGGTTTTTGTGTCACCCCGTTGCCCCGCCGGCCCGCTGCTGTCGCCAGAGGGAGGTGCAGCTCCAGTGTAGCGTTTGACGTGACCGAGGCTGCCGTAGTGAGCCGGTTTGTGTAGCGAGTCGCTCTCCTGTCCGCCGCCGCTCGCTCTCCTGTCCGCCGCCACTCCCGCCGCTGGCGCTGCCCGCCGGCCGGCCATGCCGGGCTGGCGGCGCTGCCGGCCTCCACACCCGCCGCCAGCGCTGCCCGCCGCCGGGGCTGCCCGCCGGTCGGCCGTGCCGAGCTGGCGTCGCTGCCGGCCTCCACTCCCGCCGCCGGCGCTGCCCGCCGGCCGCCCGTGCCGAGCTGGCGTCGCTGCCGGCCTCCACTCCTGCCGCTGGCGCTCCTCGCCGGCCGCCCGTGCCGGGCTGGCGTCGCTGCGGCATCCACTCCCGCCGCCGGCGCTACCCGCCGCCGGGGCTGCCCGCCGGTCGGCCGTACCGAGCTGGCGTCGCTGCCGGCCTCCACTCCCGCCGCCGGCGCTGCCCGCCGGCCGCCCGTGCCGAGCTGGCGTCGCTGCCGGCCTCCACTCCTGCCGCTGGCGCTCCTCGCCGGCCGCCCGTGCCGGGCTGGCGTCGCTGCCGGCCTCCACTCCCGCCGCCGGCGCTACCCGCCGCCGGGGCTGCCCGCCGGTCGGCCGTACCGAGCTGGCGTCGCTGCCGGCCTCCACTCCGCCGCCGGCGCTGCCCGCCGGCCGCCCGTGCCGAGCTGGCGTCGCTGCCGGCCTCCACTCCCGCCGCTGGCGCTGCCCGCCGGCCGCCCGTGCCGGGCTGGCGTCGCTGCCGGCCTCCACTCCCGCCGCCGGCGCTGCCCGCCGGCCGCCCGTGCCGGGCTGGCGTCGCTATCAGCCAGGCCCTCCGCCAGGTCACGGTAAGCAGAGGGCTCCGAAGACGCGGCACACCAGCCGGCGATTACGACAACTGTCTGACGCGAAGGCCGCATGAAACAGCGGCGTGTCGACGCTCGAGAGCGCGCATACGCGAGAGAGAGAGAGAGAGAGAGAGAGAGAGAGAGAGAGAGAGAGAGAGAGAGAGAGGAGAGAGAAGAGAGAGAGCGGAGAGGGGGGGGGGGGGGGGTGAGAAGGGGGGTTGCCACCAGACGGTTGTCGCGTGGCTGGCTAGCTCGAGGGCCGACAGCTGGTGGCAGCGTGATGCCTCTCCCCCTCCCCCTGCCCCCTGGCGCGCCGTTCCACTGACCCGCTGTCCCCTGCGCGTCCTGCCAACTGGCAGAGGCGCGCCCAGGCGTCGCCGTCGGTCGTAAGCTGGGACGCGTGCCAACGCAGCGCGCAGGACAATGGGTAGGCCGCGGCGGATCCGTAGTGCTGGCCCGTCACGAAAGAAGGGACGCGTTGGTCGACCCACTTCCAAATCGCGATAAAGCAATACAAAAACAAAACAAGCCTACCAGCTTGGTGGCGATGGTCGTGGGTCTGGCGACAATCTCTCTCCCACGATCCGGTGCCTGCTGCCGCCTCGGTGCAGGAATCCGCCTCCCCCAGCGGCCGCTGGGTCACCGCCAAAGCTGACGGCCGCCAATTTGCCCGGGGCGAGGCGATGCAGACGGGGAAGGGGAGGGACGTTGTTGTGCCAGGGGAGGGAGTGCTTCAGGAGGAGTGGGATGTGGGGGTGGGGGGGGGGGGGGAGAGTGATGAGGGAGATGGACGGACATGCAACTCACTCAGTTACAACACACGAGGAACAGTTGGCATGTACCCCAGCGTGTGGACACACCTCCCACTGGACCCTCCTGCTCTGCATTTAGCGTCGGCAATAAGTCACATCTGAAATCTGAGTGGGTCGCTGTCACGTACACGCGAGAACCAAGGCTGCCAAGAACCGTGCCAACCAATGGCGCAGAAGCATGGACGAGGCGCAAAAGAAACCTACATGTTATGTCTGCTTCCATGCTGACCGACCTCATGACAGACCGATCTCGTTGTCAGGGTTAGTTCTCTCAGGGCCTCGGTTAGTTTCCCACCAAACCATTGTTTGTATCGGGTAGCATCATCGGTCGGCATTGATTAGAGGAAACGATGTAAGTAATCCAACCAGACCTGCGTTTTCTAGGGTGTCCGGGCAAAAACTCGACTCGCGGTCTGCCGCATGGGCTTTTGTCGACTGCTCTAGGACGACTTCCATATACACGAAATACAAAATATCCAGATGCCAAAAAGTCGAAGCGGCAAAATGACAAACTATAAATTGGCGCATGGAAAAATGACGACATGCCAAAAGCCAAACGGCTAAATAGCGAAACGCAAAATAGCAGCATGCAAGAGGGTCGATATGCCAAATTGGTTAACTCCCAAATGTGGTTGGGCTGCTTAAGAGTCATATTTGACAAGGTCACGCTACGCACAGCCTGGCCCCGTCCCGACGCGAAACGCTCAGGCAGCCAGTCAGCATTAAGACATTTCCACATGTTTCATGTCACCAATCACCAGCACCAAAGTCAAATATGACCCTGTTGTATTTCATCGTTTTGCCTTTCGCCAATATTACACATCGACGTTCTGCGAGGTCGCTTTTTCGACTTTCGCCTTTGCCGATTTGGCATGCCGACTTTTTTACAGATCGCCAATCTGCAGTTCGCGATGAAGCGTTTCGCCATTTTGTCTCGTCGACTTTGTATATTTCGTCTTTTAGCAGGTCGCCATTTAGCGGTGTCGACTTTTTTCCGCGTCGACTTATTTACATGTATTCATTCCACTGTCGTCACTGAACAGCCGACAAAAAGACATTGGCCAGATGGAATTCTTGCCATTTTGTCCTAGAACCGCTTCATAGACATCTACTGTTTTAACCGGAGGCACTGAGATTTTTTGTTGTTGTGATTTGGGCTTTGCTACGCACTTAGCTGCTGAGGTTATATGCTGTCGCATAGCGTGCCTCTCACTGGGGTAGAAAAACCAGGCTTCGCAGGGAATCGAACCACGTATATCTGGTTTTGCAAGTGCGAATCTGAGCTCCTACACTATCGGTGTCCCAGAGGCCTCTTTCAAGGTAATTTCGGTAACGTATTACAGCATTTTCTGGTCACCAGCTGGGACAGGCAGATACCTGCCGCACAATGCATCAGCCAATGACTGTAAGAATACATGACCCGGAGGACAGCACAACACACACAACATGCAACATACAACTAAGGCTTCATATTTTACACCTTTTGCGGTACAAAGCTGAACACAAAGCTGTCGTTAGGGTGCCGGCGTTAGCACCAGCTGTGCGCACAGCTGCCGTTGCTGCTCCCCCGGGCCCGGTGGTCAGGGGACTGCTCTGGTGCCAAAGAGAGCCCCTGGGGTGGGACAGCACACCGACGGTTCTGTTCAAGGTCAGAGGTCAAAGGTCAGAGGACTGCTCCAGTGACCAAGAAGGCCTATGCCCCTGGGGTGGGCCAACGCGCTGAAGGGTCTGTTCGACGTCGGGGCCTTCTTTTGAGCGGCCGTCGCGGGCACTGGCTGTACGGTAGCAACACCGCTTGTGGGAGACCCCTCCCGGTGACAGCGCCATCTCCTGGGAAGGCGCCCTGCAGGTCGGCTCTGCCGCGCTCAAGGTTGGACGGAGGACCTCCCACTGACGCTGGCGCGCGGATTGGGCAACTGGGCCGCAGAGGCGGTGGCATCGACACCTCTTGTTCATACGGAATTGTAGCGCTTAGTTAACAAGTACGGAGATATGTGTTTTACAGTATGCTCTGCGTAGTGGGTAGCACGGCAATAATGCAGAATGTGCAAACGTGCTGCGGATATGGAAGTCAACAGAACACAAACATTGCGCTGCATGACAATCATGCTCCGACGGTTGTGGTTGCCACTTTCCATGCATTGTAGCCGAAGCTGCGTTCCAGAGGTGTCACGCGGCATTCGTACAAAATCTGATTCTGGCCTGTTGTTTGAAGACACGTTCCAGCATACAGTTCAGTCCCGTGATGGCGCCATCACCGTCTTAGGAATGCTTGCCACGGGCTTCCTCGTCCTTCGCTGCGGTCTAGTTGTCTCACTTCACTCGCTTCTCTCTTCGCCTCTCAGTTGCCCCACCCGCCGCGCTTTTCCGCGGCATTGCTGCCTTTCCTCTGTTCTGTCTTCTCAACGATAGCGACGCAGCATCTTCAGGCTCGGCCGTTCTGCTCGGCTCCAGCACCCGCCCACAGCCGCGCGCACCACCACACCCGCCCGGAACCGCTCACACCTCGCCGCTGTCTCCGGCAGCGTCGACTTCCGCAAGAACGAGAAGAAGTACGACGGCAACATGTCGGAGGTGCTGCGAATGGTGCAGGACATGGACAATTCTCCTGAGGCGTACGTCGAGCCGGAGGAAGCGGTGGACGCCGCATCGCTACCACCTGAGTACAGCGGCCTCAACAGCATCAAGTCGCGCACCATGCGTTCCCTGGTGGTGAAACGTGAGTAGCGGCGGTCGGCGAGAGATGGCGCCTCAGACGGAGACAGCAGAAACGGGCAGACGAGCGAGGCGGCGGGGATGGCCAGACAAATGTCGGGCCGCGGACTTGGGTGATCAAGATGGCGGGAATGGGCGAGTGAAGTATCAACACGACGGATCAGCTGAAAATATGCGAAGCAATGCGATACTAACGGCGAAATAATAACCACGAAATCAACAACAGTTTTCAGAAGCAATTTTCTCGCTACGCTCCTTTCCTCCATGCTCGGCATGTTCCTCGCTTTGCACGGCGTCCTTGCGGATTGGAAAGCCCTTTTTGTAGCAACAGACCGTAGCAGCTTATTAATCGATCTGACCTTTTCCTTGCCTATCTATTATTGCATGTACCGAGGACTTGATTTTTGATCAGAATGTTACCCATATATCTCCTGTAACGGATAGCTGAGCTTAATTAATACATGTCAAATATGCAATTATATGTGTGAAGGCCCGTCATGCCTTATTCGCAAACGTGTTACTGCCATGTAATGTTCGCCCAACCCTTATTCAGAATGAACGTATGAAGGCTGGGGATATGCTGGCGTCATGACAGGCACCATCACATGGATGGCGCTGCCAACCTGTGAGAAGGTTCAGGATTCTGAGACCGTGCACCGCACAGCTGCCTGGCCGTCTTAGCCAGCCGTTCACCAGTGACGTCATATTTCAGCTGACAGCAACAGTGCGCCGCAGACCAGCGTGCACGCGCCGCGCATCACAGCGCCCTCGGCGACGAAGGTAGCGCCACCTGTAGCGCCCAAGCCGGCGCCTCAGATGGCGCCACGGCCGGCGCCTCAGGTGGCGCCACGGCCAGCGCCCGCAGCCCCGGGCAGCCGCGGACCGCCCGGCATGCGCTCCGTGAGTGTGGCGTCACCGGGCTGACTATGACGTCATACACCCAGTGTGGGCGTCACAGTCAGTGTCGGGAGCTACAGACTGATGTGTTTCCGGGGGGGGGGAGGGGGGGGGGGAGGGGGGGGGGGATATCGATGCAGCACTGAGAGGTGGACTTGGATGAGGCTATGAATGAGACAAAACAGGATTCAAGGCTTTCGGCCGCGTCATGGACCATTATGCGTCGAGACTGCTCGAGCAGCATTCCAGACGAGAGGCCAATCATTACGCTTAAAGTTAAGATTCTTCCACGCGGGTGATGGCCTCTCTATTGTGGCCTCAAAGAAGACCAAATCTCCGAACCAGGCCCGAGACATCACTATCAAATACGTGTGTTCGTTGTGCGTGCAATAAGGGCACAATATGAGGTCATTGACGCTACAGGAAGCAGCCGTGGGAAGACGTTGCCAAGCACCAGTTTTGAGTCGCCTTGCTATCTGCGTAGGTTTTATCCCAATGTAACTGCTACCGGCTTGTAGCATCAATGACGTCACCAGGCCACGCATGCGCCGTGGTGTGTCCCGACAAAAAGCCGACTAGCTGTTTGCCGAATGCCTTTTTGCCGACGCTATGTGGCGACGTTCATATTGGCGACATGTAAAATGTCGACGCAGTAAAAAGTCGAGTCGGCAAAATGGCGAACTGCAAAATGGCGACATGTAAAAATGTTTCCATGCAAAATTGGTGAGCTCTTAAATGTTGTTGAACTGCTCACGATTCAGGTTTGACATCATGGTGGCGAAGTATAATGGCGACATACTTAAACGACGGAATGTTAAATCACAACATGAAAGGCAAGCTCAAGTGGATACTACAAAAAAACACGAAGGTCTCCGGGGGTACGTGGAATGAATAATTCCTATTCAATGTTTTATGACAGCCGCATAAAGTACCTATGATTGTGGTTACTGACTAACTGGCCCCGTTCCCTTCCTTCCGTGAAGACAGAGGACAGAGGGCGACTGACCTTTTGTTTGCATGTTGACCTCGTCGACCTGCGAACCCACATCATAAATTTCCAAACAGACGTTTTCACGACGTCGGTATTTGCGGTGTCCGGACAACAAGTCCACTTGCAGCTTGCCGGCTGCTCAGCTTCGGCTGTCATATGAAGTCTTCCATATCGACGACATGCAAAAAAGTTGGCGTGCCAAAAAGTCAAATCGGCTGAATAGCAAAATGCAAAATGGTGACATGCCACGAAGATGACAAACCAAAATAGCGAAATGCAAAACGGTGGCACGTAAAAAAGAAAGCATACCAACTTGGTGAATAGCTTAACGGTGAACTGCTCACACAGAATGTTTGACACTTAAAGATACCGAAGTAAAACTCAGATTTAATGGAAAAATATTGGTATGATTTAGGGAACAAACGCTGCTCTAGGCAAAACAATAACTATTAAATTAACACCCTTCTAAGTAGGTCACCTGCAGTAGGTCACCGTTCAGTAGGTCACCGGCAGTAGGCCACCGTTCGATTGTGTCATGGAATGATTTAATGACGTCAGAGTCGCGCCAGAATCACCACTGCATTTCACGCGCTGACTCACTTGTAGTATTTCAGCTCGCCGACAGATGGTTTGGCAATTATGTGAAATAGACCGAATATCGTTATGTGCGTATGTTTTGGCGCTCTCTCATCCTGATCTTTCCTTATATTTCTCCATCATGACATTTTTACCTGCACTTACTTTCTCGGCTAAGCCGCTATTCTCAAGCTATTTAATCCAAGGCCCATTTTCGTCATAATAAGTAGAACTGTCGAATGTCTTAAATAGTTTTCACAAGAGGCGGTTCATGTTCAAAGTTTGCATTAAAGGAAGTGTTCCACATTGATATGGGGCTTTGAATTGGAATAGCCATCTTGAAGACCTTTCGGTGCCGTTCATAATTCTGCTGTTCTTGAGACCAAGCCCTTCTAGTTTCCGAGCTACACTCTCGCGAAAATAGGGAAAGCTGTGACGGGAAGAGTATTTCAAAGTCAGCTTGGCATTTATGATGTCATAATAACGTGATTCATATTCTGTCATTCCATAACCCACGCGGCGATCGAGGCCAAGACAAATGCAATTGTTGAGGTGTTCCTATCTGGCGTTGGTGAGCGCTATTTCCAGACATAACAGCCGTCAGTTTATTCTCAGACGATGTTGTGCAAGGTACGATGACGCAATCAAACCATGACGCATGGAGTAGCATTTTTACTAAAAAAAATTGTGCTATCTAGAGCAGCCTTTTCCACTTAAAAAGTACCCCAACAGTTAAAAGTGGGCTTGTTTCATCATATCAATTGTGAAACATTTCCTTTAAACGCTTCCAGATGGTTGAAAGCTAACGACTGTTCGTTGATGCAACGATCCATGCCAGCGTGCTTCAGACACGAAAAAGTCAATGGTCACATGTTTCTCGACTTCTAACACCATATGTTCTCTGAGGAGGCGGAACTTGTGTAAAGTCGCTATCGCGTCATATCTAGATGACCTCGAAATGGGCGGCGCGAAAAAGTCTGCACGCGTTTTTGCACTCCTAGCTCAAAAACGAGAGGATCTCAAGATTTAAAATGGGCGTAAGTGTGAACTGTACGTCAGGATAGTGGAAATGACGATCTCAGTTGAAAGCCATATAAAATGTGAAACAACCCTTTCCAGAGTGTTGTTTGAATAAATGAGGACATAGGAAAATGATGGCATGACAAAAAAGACAAAAACTGGAAACAACGACATGGAAAAGCTATGAGCAATTTGAAGAATCTGCCACCTGGCTTATGTCGTAGGTGCGGAGGCTGCAACCTGTCGATGGTGACATGGAAGGATGAATCTTTATACAGACTGTAGTTTACTATTAAGTTCTGATGCTTTAGCCCCCCCCCCCCCCCCACACACACACATGACACAAGCCCCCCTCCCATCTTTGGGAGGAAGCGGGCGAAATCGGGGAAAATCCTGGTTGTTGTCAAATGTTGGCGGTAGGTTTCATAATTTGTCACGGTATCCCCTCCCCCCCCCCCCCTACAACGTATCTTACGAAACTACACCCCTGGTCCTATTCGATCGCTATGACGGTTTTGCCTAATACGAGTCTCATTGCCGAAAAGCAGTCCCGTTTCTTTCCTTCTGCCGTAAATGGCATTAGCTAAGCCGTAAAGCTGACGCCGGCCATTCGTATCTGCCGTCATAGTTGAAGAGCTTACGTGATTTATTACTGATCTATTTCTTTATTTCTTTGTTTTTGTATCGCCAACGGGGTAGTGCTTCCCTAGCGGGAGAAGTCTTTTAAATAAAATGCAACAAATACACAGCACACAACGCCCAGCTAGCCATCCAATGTTTGAAGCTTTTCAAGAGACCATTGACCAGGACCAAACTGAAATATTAGTATTTTGTATTTCGCCATTCTGCCTTTCACCAATACGATACATAATGTTTTGCTAGGTCGCTATTTTTCTGTTCACCGTTTAGCCGTTTGCCAACTTGGCATGTCGACTTTTTTCAACGTCGCCTTTTTACAGTTCGCCATTCCGCATTCGCCGCCCCGCACTCACCATTCAGCCTACGACAAAAAGCGTGCGCAAAAATGAGATTTTCGAATTTTTGCCCTAGAACCGCGCCGTGGTGACAAAAGCGGATGAGCTTAACTGGGTCACGTTCCCAATAAGCGAAGTGCTTACCGGAGTTGCCACCTATGACGTCGTAAGTGCTTGCATCACACACGAGCGACTACTCTCCAAGCCGTAGGAGCTGTTGTGACGCACTTACCTCTGACGTTAAAGATTGCAAGCAGTGGCCAGCTGTTGGTAATGGTGATGGCAACCCTGGGAGTATTGAAGGCAACTGACGTTTCGTTAGAGGTGGCTATAGGTAGCGTTGCAGCTGGGCAGCTGAATCAGCTGGTGAAGAAAGCGTTACACTTTGTGATACAGATTTTCAAGGTTCACACCACATTTGGAAGGTAGATTCACGTACTTGTCATGTTTGAGACGAGGTTCATCTTCTTTTCGGCAGAAATCACATTGCTCTTATCTTTGCATTTGTGACCAGATCTCAGAGAGGCAGGTTTTACACACGCCGCCTTCTGTAGGACGGTTAACTTATTGTGATCAGGACGGGGGTACAACGAAGTCATACTCGTCATACAACAGGGCATGTGAAAATTCGTTCCTTCCTCCACCGGCACGCGCTTGGATGCTCTGTGGTAACACAAATCATGTCAGCCACTATGCAGTTCATCAAATGAAAATTTTGCGTGGATTCAAAGCCTCGTCGCCACTTGTCGCTGCTGATCATATTCTTTCCAGCAACACATCCTGCACCACTCAGAGTTCGCGTAAGGTTTTGGAGCGCGCCTGCCACCGCCTTTATATATGAAACGGCCTTGTTTGATTGAGGTGGAAAGACGCAGTCAAATTTTGCCATCGTTGCGGCATCGAACCCTTGTCACAACATGATTATGTCAACTGTGACCATGTCAGCCGTAGCCACGTGAGCCTTGGCCATGTGAACTTCCCATATGGCCGGCCTCTGCAAGCTATTAAAGTGTGCTTAAGCTGCAAAAACTCGGCATATTACTGTCTGACTCGGCACGTGACGTTCTGGACACGCGGCCTTCCACTGCGGGTCACGCAACCGTGTCAGGCAACGTTTTTATGACATTTCGTGTGAGGTCATTGTTCCGTTGACCGGCCAGTGCTCTTCTGACGCACCTGTGACATTATGAAATCTCGTGTGAGGTCATTGTTCCGTTGACCGGCCAGTGCTCTTCTGACGCACCTGTGACATTATGACATTTCGTGTGAGGTCATTGTTCCGTTGACCGGCCACCTGTGACGTGAATGACGCACCTGTGACGTGAATGACGCAGCAATGTAGCTGGCTTCTGTCGTCTATCTGACCTCCGCCTCGCTGACCTGCGGGCGGTAGCCCAGGCGCCAATCGTTAGTTTCCCGCTACCCGTGTTCTTAGTGGATACTGCAGTGTAGCCGACGAGGATGGCTCAGCTTCTCACTCGGTCGGTGACGAAGCACATTCCCTGCGACAGCTTCATCCGTCCCCAGCAGCACTGTCGACCCGTGGCTCTAGCCGCTTTGCATCAAGACAATGACCTTGACCCGGGACCTGACCTTGACCTCAGACAACGGCCACTATGATCCGCACGGACCCGGCCACGGGCAGCGTCAAGCTCGTGTCCGCAGTGGACACGGAGACCAAGCACTTCAACGCCTTCAATCGCACCCCGCAGTCGTTCAAGGTACTCGCTGCAGCGCCGTGTACACTGACGCTTTACTCGTTCCAACGGTGTCATGTGACACCATTTGTGGTTAATAAGGTGCGAGATTTTTTACGCCGCCTCGGTTTTCCATTTTTATTCCCTGGGACTTCTGGGCCTGTTGTTTATTTCAACGCGTCTGTTTGAATAATTGTGCGCTGACGAATGTGCCGACTGGTTTTTGGTTGCTGATCTTTTTCGTTTACATGCTAAAATACTGTCGTTTATTTCTCTAACCCCATGCGTTGCCACATTTCTGTTTTGCGTTATTTCTGTATTTTCTTTGGCTGGTGTGGCGGGCCGTCGGCACCGGCCGCACCCGCCTGTGACTCGCCTCTGTCCCCTGAAGGATCCGCCAGCGGCCGCGGAGCCCGAACCCCAGGTCGTCTCCCCGCCGCCGGCCGCTCCTGAACCCCCGACAGAGCGCCACGTCTCGTTCAGCGAGGACTCGGCGCTGATGCCGTCCGAGCCTGCCCCACCACCACCGCCGCCGCCGCAGCAGCAGCAGCAGCAGCTACAGCAGGAACCGCAGCAGCAGCAGCAGCAGCAGCAGCAGCAGCAGCAGCAGCAGAGCGACGAGGAGCACCAGCTGGCCGAGCGTTTCCAGCAGACGGTTAGCGCCGACGGCGGCGCACGCACCACCAGCTTTGAGCATCAGGAGGCGCATCAGTCGCAGCAGACGCAGCAGACGGTGGCGACATCTGTCGAGACGGTCGGCAACACCACCGTCACGCGTACGCGCCGAGTCGTCGAGTCGCACGAACAGCAGCAGCAGCTCTTCCAAAAGCAGACGCTGGTCGAGAGCCAATCAGCCGGGGGGCTGCAGATAAGCGGCCAATCCCCGGCCGCCCTGCAGCTGGAGGGCCAATTGGGTGGCGGCTTCCAGCTTGAAGATCAATCGCCTGCCGGGTTTCAGACGCAAAACCAATCGGCGGGCGGCTTTCAGCAGGACAGCCAACCGGCGCGCTGCTTCCAGGTAGGGCGGTCAAAGGAGCCCCGCCACGGCAACTCGTGCAGGCATGCACCCGGCACCAGATTCGGTGTGACGTCACCAGCGTGGATTTCATTTGGACGGTAGTGCCGGAACACGAACGGGACCGTAATACCTGAGGCTGGCCCGTAGATAGTGGTGGGCTTTTGAAGCTTTCCCGCGCTGAGCTTAGAAGAAGGCATGCGTGTCGTTTTCCTGCATTTGTGCCCTGAAGTTGTCGGCAGAATGCAGACTAGCGGCCGTACCCAGAGCAATGTGAAGAGATGTTAGTGAACGACGCCGGGACGCCCCGTGTACTAGGCAGGAACGACACTGATCGGCAGGACATGGGACGAGCACCCTGGTTTTACAAGGGCAGCGGGACGGGACGGGTAGCGGGTGGTGCTATAGCGGGGCTTCGACACACGGGTTTTGCAGGCACCTATTTTAAGAGCCCCACTAGTCAAGTGCAAGGACGCCTACATTCCCAGGCATAGCCAGTCTAGCTGTAGAAGCTCTCGTTGTAGACAGTCAGTCCAACTGTAGACCGTCGGAAAGCAGCAGGACTTCAGCAGCAGGGCGTCCTCGAGGTCCTGCCTGTCCCGGACGCGTCGTCTGACGTCTCGATAATTAGGTCCTGCCTGTATCAGGCGCGTCGCCTGACGTCTCGATAACAAAGTCCTGGAGAGCCAGGCGACGACTAACCACATCGCGTGCGAGGACAGTGTCGCTGGTCAGAGAAGATCTCGCAGCTGTACTACACGCGTAATCCACGTTCTTTTGTCCCTCTCGCCTTATTTTGGGCCATCGCGAGACGCCGTTTACCCGGGGTGGGCGACATACACCAGCCAGGAGTGGGCTTAAGCGCCCCCTGGTAGGGGGGCCCCTTCTGAGCGCCGAGCGCATGTGGCGCACGTGGGTGCCTGAGCGGGCTTCGTCTCCACGGATGGACCCCAGGCGCGTGCTATTTTGCCCCATCATTATTCATTCTTCTTCATGTCATTGCCTTGAAATGACACTGGCCGAAACGGCTCTTATCCAAACCAGACCAAAACCGCGAAAACGCGAAGGGTACGTCTTGTTGCTGTCGTAGCCGCCTGGCGTACACAGAAGTCTGGCGTTTGCAGACCTCCGTCACTGGTCTCAACGCGGCGAGCGTTCTATGCCCCTTCATGCTGTCCATCGTCGGGGTCAGGTCACCGCCGGGCCTGATTTGGTCGCCGGTTGGGCCCGGTTTGGTCATTACCGGGGACAGGTCTGGTCACTGCCGGGGCCAGGTTTAGCCATCGGCAGAGCCCGGCTTGGTCACCGCTGAGACCCGGCTTGGTCACCACTGAGACCCGGTTTGGTCACCGCCGGGGCCCGGTTTGGTCACCGCCGGGGCCGGGTTTGGTCACCGCCGGGGCCCGGTTTGGTCACCGCTGAGACCCGGTTTGGTCATCGCCGGGGCCGGGTTTGGTCATCGCCGGGGCCTGATTTCAGATCGAGGACAGCGCGCCGGGCGACCAAGAGCCCATTGTGACCACGCCGGGAACAGAGGAGCCCTGGCACACCCAAAAACAGAGCACGGTACAGTGCCGAGGGAGTGTGGGAGGGGAAGCTCTGGAGAGCCCGCTCGCAGCGACGGCGGACCGTGCCGATAGGGCGGCCCAGTCGGCATGATCTAACCGAAAGAGCGTACCAGACGACATGATGTAGTCGATAGGGCGTTCACGACATGATGTAGCCGGTAGTGCGACTCAGGCGGCATGATGTAGCCGCTAGAGCGGCCCAGGCGGCGTGATACAGCTGAAATACCGTTCCAGGCGACACGATCTAGCCGAAAAAGTGTTCCGGACGTCATGATGTAGCCGATAGTGCGGTCCAGGCGGCATGATGTAGCCGATAGTGCGACCCAGGCGGCATGATGTAGCCGACAGCGTAGCCCAGGTAGCATGATGTAGCCGATAAGGGACGGACAGCATAAGTGGGCATGAAGCGACAGCCCCAAATGCGATGAAGGCGAGGAGGTCCTCTGCTGCGCGCCACACGCGCTGCGAGCGGCGTATGGTTTCGCCAGCTGCAGGTGTCTTGTCTCTAAATTGGCTCGTTGGCTGAGTACATAGGCCAAGGATTAGTCAGGCTCTCGCACGGCTTTTGTTAGAATCCATGGCAGAAAAGCGCTGCTGGACGTCATTCGATACCAAGAGGCAGCTCCGTCTATCTCAAACGGAACGAAATGCAGTCGCTGACTGATTGGTGAAGCTTGTTACCACTTAATAGGCACGGCGGTTGAACAGTCACTTCCGGGGTGTCGCCCGAGACACAGATCCGCCGCGACACCCCTGCAAATTCTGGAGTAACGCCCCGAGACACAGATCCGCCACGACACCCCCGCAAATTCTAGAGCGTCGCCCGAGACACGGATCCTCCGCTACCCCTGCAAATTCCGTAGTGTCGCCCGAGACACAGATCCGCCGCGACACCGCTGCCACGACCCGCTCCCGACACGCTCTGCTCTGCCTGTGCCGTGCCTCGTCGGCCCCGTTTTTCAGTAGCGGCATGATACCGCGCCATCGGAGGTGTCTGCTCCCGCCGCCTGTAGTGGTGCTGCTACTGGTGCTCCTGCTGTGCCCGTGGTGCGAGGAGCTGTGACAGCTTGCGGTGCCCGTGCTGTGACAGCTGTGACAGCTTGCGGTGCCCGTGCTAGTGCCCCTAGAAAATGACTGGTGTGACGCGGGAGTGGGCGTTCTGAGTCGGTGTCGGTGCGGAATTCCCTGCTCTGAGTCTGCATCGGTGTGAGAGTCGGTGCTCTGAATCTGCATCGATGCGAGAGTCAGCGCTCTGAGTCTGCATCGCCGAGGCGCGATAGCAGCGAATGACCCCTGTACATATCGCCCCACTTCGGCTGCTCTATAGGCTGGTACAGGCATGTGCTGCTCTCAGTTCCAACAGCACAGCGGGCATAAGATTGACGTGGAGAGTCGCCGTTACCCGGTGGTTTTGTTGTCAGTACCCACCTTTGAGCGGTTTTTAATCACGATGAGCGATTTTTAAACGATATTGAGTATTAAGTAAAGTTTCAGGTGCGATTCACACATGTGACATGCTGTCGAGTGATGTGTGCCAATGGGCCCCGAGTCTCGACAAAGCTGCAGCCAATCACAAGCATCGGTCACCTCCGGATCAGCTAATCACGAGCATCGGTCACCTCTGGATCAGCCAATCGCGAGCATCAGTCACTTCTGGATCAGCCAATCACGAGCACCGGTCACCTCTGGATCAGCCAATCGCAAGCATAGGTCACCTCCGGATCATCAGCACTGGCCGAGGCCGATCGCGTCTGGCTGGTACAGCGTGCCCGGGCAGGGAGGATGGGCTGAATGGACGCCGCACGTCTGAGAGCGTGTCGTCACGCGGTGCGAGCCTATTGGAGCGAGCGAGCGAGCAAACGCAGACAGGGCGCGTTCAGCAACAACACAGGGGAGGATTGCGGTTTTGATGCTGGGCTCAGGCACATATCGAAAGAACTGCTCTAAAAGAATTGTTACTTAACCGTCAAAAGTTGCCGGAATCATTTTTATTCTGACGAGGTCTCCTCCTCCCCAGCTTGAGGTCCAGCCCGTCAACTTTGGGAAGAAAGTGGGCGAAAGTCGGAAGGAAACCTGTTTCTTTTTTGAAAACCCGTAATGTTTTAAACTGATGCCAGTTGCCCATGGGTCTCTTAGCAACTTTAGAACGCGCGGGACAACTGCAGTTGTAACCGTCAACGGACCCCACATCATATGATATCACATATCACTTGTCATGTGGAATAGTTGGGAGTCCACGGTACGGCCCCGAGTGTATCACGGTGCTGTGGGAGCTGGCACCGCTGGAACTTACCTCCCTTGCATTATCCCGTCGTTAGGCACGTGCGCCGCCCCTGCCGCCGGTGTGCCGCCCCTGCCGCCGGTGCGCCGCCCCGTTGTCAGGTGCTGGCACCGCCTCTGCAGCCAGTCGCGCCGCCCCGTCGTCAGGGGCTGGCGCCGCCTCTGCAGCCGGTCGCGCCGGACCTGTCAGACGTGACGCGGCCTCAGTGTCGTCGTCCGGGGCCGACCCCGATGTAGTGCAGGACGGACTGGGGTGTGACCCGGCCGACTGGGGCGGGCTACAGCCCTCACTGGCCCGGCGCCCTTCAGGCGGCTCCTGCTCGGCGCCGTGTCCTGCTCGTGCGCGTCTCCTGACCGACGGGTGTGGAACATGCAGCGGGCCACGGGTACCACCCGCCACGTGAGTCCAGTCTTGTAAGCCAGCGTAACGAGGTTGAGCGCTACCCTTCCTCCGTATTTTTTTTTTTTTAATTTGAAATCCGTCGCTCCTGGCGAAGGAGCAAGTATGATCACGCAAATCCATGTTTTTGCGTGCCAGTCTTAATTGAACAAAACTGTGCTTTTCACGCCCGATAACTTGGTGTAGTTGTGTTTTGAACGCGTTTTTGCTTAGGCGTCTGCAGTTCGTTTACAGTAATGCAAGCATATCGTAAACATTGTACACGGAACGGTAGATCCTTCATTCGATGAACACTGATTTGAGATTTCAAGCTAAATAAAGGATGGAAAAAGGGACCAAATCAATCAGGATGTTCTAAAGGCATTGAACAGGAAAACAAACATCATCTGAGACAAATTCGCATGCAGCTTTCTTCCAACCCTGGAGTTTATGCTTCGAGTAGGGCACAACTTACATCAAAGAATATCACTTATCGTTTGCTCACTCGGTATTTGTTTAATCATCCAACGCAACTGTGTGGTCCTCAGTGTCGTGTGTAAGAGCCTTTTCCACCTGCCGGGCGGGGTCCGTTAAGACGTTTTGAACAAACTTGTACGGGAACAGATCTCTCACCGACTGGGACAACTGCAAGAAGAAGCATGGTGCTGTTCCATACAGCCTCCCTTGCCGGCTGGGATGGTGTTCAGGTTAATCCCACCTCACACGCGAGGGTGGCGTCAGCCGCATAAACCTCATCTACCCAACGCCGGTCCTGGAGGGCTTTGCACACCCAGGAACCTGCCAGTTGTTTCTCTAAACGGCGGTCATTCTCCCAGCGAACGCGCACAGCCATATCCAGTCTCTCCTGCAGGCGAACCTCGTGTCCAGCTTCGCCTTCTTCCCCCGCGTTCTCGCTGGACATCTGAGTCTCCTCTCCTCCGCAGCCGGCATCCGGCGCTCCCAGCTACCAGCCAGCGCCAGCCGCTCCCAGCTACCAGCCAGCGCCAGCCGCTCCCAGCTACCAGCCTGCACCAGTCGCTCCCAGCCACCAGGCGCCGCCGGCTGCCGCCCAGCAGCAGCAGTCGTTCTCGTCGGGAACCTCGGGAATCTCGCAGGTGGACTACTCGAGCTACGTGCCGCAGCGGAAAGGTCAGTGGGAGTCATTCAGGGTCGGGGCGGTCGAGCGGGGCTCGGACCGGCCGGGTCAGGGGTCAGGACGGGGTGGGTCAGGGGTCGGGACAGGGTCGGGTCAGGGGTCAGGACGGGTCGGGTCAGGGGTCGGGACGGGGTCGGGTCAGGGGTCAGGACGGGATGGGTCAGGGGTCAGGACGGGATGGGCCAGGGGTCAGGACGGGATGGGTCAGGGGTCAGGACGGGGTCGGGTCAGGGGTCAGGACGGGGTCGGGTCAGGGGTCAGGACGGGTTGGGTCAGGGGTCAGGACGGGGTGGGTCAGGGGTCAGGACGGGGTGGGTCAGGGGTCAGGACGGGGTGGGTCATGCGGAACTCACTTCGTGACTGTAGTACCCTGGGGAGACCTTGTCACTGACATGACATGCGAGCCAAATTTTGACCAGCCTACGCCACGAAATAATTCAAAGAGCAGATACGATGAGTTCGACGTGAGATTGTCCTCATTGCAGTCACGCATCAACAGGCATCTGTGTGCTCGCCAAAGTTGTTCAGCAATGAGTGCAGAGACGTTTACCCCCACAGAGGCACTGATTAGTCTTCGAGAACTTAGACGAACGTGTAAACCTCTGCGTCAGAGCAGCCTGCAATACGTTATCAACAACTCCTTGGCTATTTTCAGGCCCCTCCATGGCAGCAGAAAATGTCCGAATGAACTAACAGCTTGCGTAACTAAAAAAGTCCATGAATCTCTGCAGCAGTCAAACACGTCAAAGTAGACAACACCGCTACAAAAGTGCTGTACTCTTGATAAACACCCGTTTCGAACGGATTTGTTTCGGCAACTGTAATAGGAAAAACATGATAGAGTACGTGGATCGACATGGCTTATTTTGAGCCAACCAGTAAATGGTTTGCCGCGGCAAAGACGAGCGATTAATCCGCATGTTACACTGGATAGTAGAGCAAGCACCGATAGCCCTTGTTTCGCGCCTGCACCTCTGCAAGCGCCGTTGTAAATTTCTCGCCTCCTTGTTTGATATTGCATTCACTGGTTTTTCTAGCACAATTTGTGTTATTTTTGTGTCATATATGATTTTTGTCTAATCTCCATGTGGTTTCTTTCCTCCTGACCGCCTCCTCCGCCACCCGCCACGCGTGCTGGCCACTGATCGCACATCCTGACCGCACCACGCCTGCTGCTCGACTGCGCATGCGCACATCCTGACCGCACCATGCCTGCTGCTCGACTGCGCATGCGCACATCCTGACTGCACCACGCCTGCTGCTCGACTGCGCATGCGCACATCCCTACCGCACCATGCCTGCTGCTCGACTGCGCATGTGACCCTCGAACCTCACGTCGAACGCCACGTCTCGCTGTTGACTTTTTTCACGTAACCACCGTTCAATGCACCGGCCTGCCTGCGTGCCTCACTAACCACCTCACGCACCTGTAACCTTCGCTCGTGTCGTTGGACGTTGCTCGCTTGGTCTACCTACGAATCCGCCCCTTGACATCAACCCATCTTTTGCCCGCGTCTTCGGCCATCATTTCGTCTTCCACTTGTGTCCTGGGGCATAAATTGATCTCCCGCCTGGTCCTTGGCCCTCACTTTGTCTTCCACGTTGGTCTTCCGCCATCAATTCGTTTCCCGCTGGGATCTTCGGCCATCATTTCGTTTCCCGCTGGGGTCTTCTGTCATCAATTCATCTCCCGCTGGAGTCTTCGGCCATCAACTCGTCTCCCGCTGGGGTCTTCGGCCATGTGATTTCCTCTCGGCTGGGTCTTCTGCCATCGGCGCCCGCCCTGTCGCATCGGCGTCTGCCCGCACCTCTGCCCGGCGTGCGGCACCCGCTCAGACATGTCGCACCACGTGGCCTGCCCGCGGCGCGTGCGGTTCCAGTGGCCGCCGGCGGCCGGCCCCGAGGCGCCCACCGCCAGCCCGCTCTGGTACCGACCGGACGCGCCGCACGCCGCCGTCGCCTTCCAGGGCCTGCACACCATGCTGGAGCCAGTGGTGGCTGCCCGGCAGCCGCCGCCGCTGCCGCCGCCACCGCCCGCCGTCGTCGGCGGGGCCCGGGTGCTCAGTCCGGCGTCGGGGGTGGACGGGCCGCCGCCCGCCGTCGTCGGCGGGGCCCGGGTGCTCAGTCCGGCGTCGGGGGTGGACGGACCGCCGGCGCCGGCGGAGGCGCGTGCTGCTCGCGAGCCTTCGCCGCTGCCGCACCTGCGCCGCCGCCGCGCCGAGCTGACTGTCGAGTCGGCAGCGGCCACGCGCTGTGCCGACGGCTCAGATGCGTCCATCCGCGCGCGGCTCGAGGAGGTGGCCGAGCTGGAGCGCGAGGTGGCGGCGCGCTGCCTCGAGAACCATCCGCCCGCCGCCGTGCCCAGCCTCAGCGAGCTGAGCGCGCGCCAGCAGCGGCGCGCCAGCGAGGCGGCCGCCGCCGTCCGCGCCGGCTCGCCGCTGTCCAGCCTCGGTCTGCGGCCGTTCGAAGCGGGTCGCCGCCCGGCGCCCGCCAGCCACGTACAGGCGGGGCGCCCCCGTGGGCGCTCGCTGGAGGCACCCTCGACGACGGCGGGCTGGCGGGGTGACGAGGGAGACTCCGACAGAAAGGACGGACCTTCTCAGAAGAGCGCAGCGCAGTGGGGGCCACAACCGGAGGAGCGCGGCGTGCGAGCCGCTGACGTCGGCTCGGAGAACGCAAATGTGGTGTCCAGAGCTTTCTCAGACTACTCTGCCGGCTTCACTGAGTTCACAGCTGAGCACAGCGCACAAGAATGCACAAAAAGCGAGTTTGCAGCATTCTCAGCAGAGGAGACTCGAAATAACATGCAACACTGTGAAACGGCTGAGGGAGAGGCAAGCGCTTATGTCCAGACTAAGACTTGCGATCAGTTCAGTCACGAGACCATCAGCTCATCCGACAGGCGGGTCACGTGCGACCCACAGACGCACATGGCGTCTCAGCCACAGATGACGTCACAGGGTCGTCACCACACGACGCCTGCGAGCAGCGTGTCCCCGGAGCCGGCCGTGCACGAGCTGGACGGATTAGCGTACTCGGCACCGCAGGCCGACAGGAGCCTGCCACCACCGGCCCCCGGAGAGGCGGAGCTGCCGCCAATCCGAGGAGAAATGGAACCGCCACCGGCCCGCGGGGAGATCAGTGCGCCACCGGTCTTGGACGAGGTGGATCCACCAATGGTTTGGGGACACATGGATCCGGACCTGGCGGGTTCTCGATCCCGTGACCAGACTGGAGAGACGAAGGAGACGACGGAAGCGATGGAGGAGACGCTGCATCGACGAGCAAAGTGCGAGACGGGGAGAGACGAGATCCTGACGTCACAGCGACCAGCTGAGGAAGGTAACGCAGCCCACCCTACCGTGCCGGCACGGCCGGCCAACTCCGCGCTCAGTCTCCCTGCCGGCCACTGCCCTCCCGAGCTTTACGGTGGTGTCCTCTGACTGTGACGACTTCGCCACGGGGACGTCGTGCCACCGGGCGATGCGCATTAGATGAGCTGACAGCGGCGGGCGATGGCGCGCTTCAGATGGTCATTCCGGGCCCGATCGACAGCCGAGCCAAATGGGTCACGTCAGGTGGCACGTGCTGATGTGGCCAGCGCGGGCCGCGAGGTTCCTCAGAGCCCAGGGAACGGGAGGACCGCCGCCGTTCTACGACAGGAAACGGATTGGGCAAAAAGGCTGTCGCACACGCTTGGTGAGCAGGCGGGGCAGCTTTCCACACAGAAGCCAGACAGTGGCTGTGCCACTGTGTGCCGCGGCTTTCCTCGCCGACGGGGCCCACTCACGCGTCTGGCACGCCGCCACGGCTCGGCGCGCGGCGGACGTGCCGCCAGAGGCGTGCCGGCGGGCTGCCCGCGCCCCCGCGGGGCCAGGGTCACCCGCCGCACATTCCGGGCCGGCCCGGCGCTCACAGACGGCTGTCACAGAGGCGTCACAGAGCGGCGACACGACCCACCGGCCGCTCTGTGACCAGTGATCGGCAGGCATTGGTATCCCCCTCACACCCACGTCTGCACAGCGTGGCGGTACGGTCACATCGACGAGTGAGGCCCGCAGCCATTTCGTGCTGGCAACCGTTGTCGTAAGGCTAGCCTGTTTTGGGAGGGCAGTTGGCTTTAAAAAAATGCACTTGTAGACCAGTTCGTTGTCTCAAACACCGCACCAGGCTTGGGTAAGCATGACCTGTGCAATATGTCTGCAAGAAGACACTTGGCTCACTTGGAGCGTGCTAGGTTTTCTGCCGGGCTATCTTTTCCTATCCATTCCTCCCCTGCGTTTATCTTTTTTGTGCTTTGCAGATGACATGTGCATGATAACTCTGCAGCCCGTATTATTTGATTGCATGCCTTTCATTTTCTCCTTGCGACTGGTTGTAACTCTCAGGTATCTTTGTCAGGATGCGGATTGCCTAAGCAAATTACCGCTACAAAGGTTTTCGTAAAGCGTGTGTCTGCGTACGCCTAAGTGCTGCTGGTATAGGATCTTATACATTCACAAAGTTCTGCCTCCTTCCGGAAAGCAAAGCGTGTTATTCCCTTACTTCGAAGATAACAGACCACTTTGCATCATCATTGTATGTGGGAAAGAACAAGCTGAAATGAAGACATTTGCCCATGATAGCGGGATCAGCGGTAAACGTCCAAAATCATATGGTGTCGCCCGCGTTGGCAAATAATGGTGTCACCAGCTTCTGTTGCACGTACACAAGGTAATCTTTTGCCAAGCTCATCATACTTGTGCTTTGTAAGACAGCTTTGTTGTTGATTTCTCACTTTCTCAGGTGTGGTGCCTACTTAAACAAATGCCATTTTCCCTCTCAAAGAACAATTGTTCCCATGACGTTTTGCAAGAAAAGATACAATCGTTTACTGCACTGGCTTCGCGTTTCGTATGGACAGGTCTAATGAGACTGTACTGTACATGATTCGCCTCACCGCACACATTGCACCAACACTTCAGTAGCAGCGTTCGAGCATTAGACCGGGTGCATCTAGGCGCACCACGCGATAAGCGCATACATCCGGTAGTTTCTGACTGAGATCCGGGCCGCAGACGCCAAGTGTGCCGCCTGTGATCCGGGACCAGGCCCGGTGCCCGTAGTCGCGTGGCGCCATCTCTGCTTGACCTCGCCTTCTTGTCTTGCGTCCGCTAGCGTGTGACAGTGTGCGACCTCCCCTGTAGGTGGCACCACCTTCGCGTGGCCCCCGCAGCCCACGGAGGTGGACTCGGCGCCGGCTCCGTTCGCCGGCGGCCACGTCGAGGTCTCGCGGCCCGCTCCCGCTCCCGCTCCCGCCCCCGCCCCCAAGCCCGCCCCGCCGCCGGTGCTGCCCAAGCCCGCTCCGCCCGCCTCCTTTGCCCCGCCGCCCGCCCCGGCCCCACCCAAGCAGGTCTCTTTCGGCCAACCTTCATTCGCCCCGGCAGTGGCGCCCAAGCCGGCGCCGCCAGCACCATCTAGCGGCGGCCCGACGAAGCTCGGCTTCAACGGCGGCCTGCCAGGGCTGGGCGGCCTGGGCGGCGGGCCGGGCGGAGGGCCGGGCGGCGGCCGCGGCTCGATGGCGGGGCGCACAAACGCGCCGCGCCGCGGCCGCGGCCAGCTGAACCCGGCCGCCACCGGCTCGCGCATCCCACACTGCGCCACCTGCGCCAATCAGATTCGGTGAGCGGCCGCGCCCGACCCCAGGGACGCCCAGCAGATGGCAGCAGGGCGGGCGCCCCCGTCCCAGGCAGGGCTCTGAGGTCTGTCCGCAGTGGTTGCTGGTGGCTGAGCGCCGTGTTGTATTCTTTGCTGCGGGATCAGAGCTTCGTTCTCTATTTTAGGTGCTCGAGACGGGTGTGTTGTCGATGGTCCGATTTGTGTTGATTGAAATGGTGCGACGTTTGATGACCTGTGCTGGCGCGTGTTGATCTGTGTCGACCCTCAGTAATTTAATAATATATGTGGTGAACTCCTGTCGACAATGACGTTCTCCTGGGACCTATCCCATTCTGCTGTTTCTTAAAGTGAACTGTGAACCTGTGCCGGCCTGTGTTAGTATGCTGTGACACGGATCGACCTAGGGGGCTAGTAACAACCTGTTATGACTCGCACCGACCTCAGATTATCTGTGTGTGACCTGACCGCCAGCGAACTATTCATCACGGCGCTGGGCCAGTGCTTGGGCCTGGGCTGTTTCCCATCACCCCGGTTATGACCTGTAACATGTTATGTTGTCCTGACCCCTGATGACCCGTGTGTGACCGGGCGGTCAAGGGACCTTTCATCACGGCGCTGGGCCAGTGCCCGGGCCTGGGCTGTGTCTTGCGACCTCGGCGATGACCTGTGACATGTTATGATGTCCTGACCCCTGATGACCCGTGTGTGACCGGGCCGCCAGGGGACCTTTCATCACGGCGCTGGGCCAGTGCTGGTGCCCGGGCTGTTTCGTCTGCGCCACGCCGCAGTGTCGGCAGAGTCTGGAGAACATCGGCTTCGTCGAGGTGGAGGGTCAGACGCACTGCGAGAACTGCTGGGAGCGACATCTGGCACCGGTCTGCAACAAGTGCCAGCGGCGCATCAAGGAGGTGTGTGGGGGGGGGGGGGACCGGCAGGAGTGACCGGGACAGCGGACGGGCGCAACAGACGGAGTGGACAGGGGTAGCCGGAGGTAGTGGACGGGGCAACCGGGCATGGCGAACGACAGGAGATGCACAGAGGCAGCGGATGGCGCGAGGGACAAGACGGCTGGGTGTTAATGTTACGAAAGCAGATGGATGAACGGCTCACGCCAATACCAGGAAAGACCTGCATGGGGTCATGAGTCCGTTTGCTTTCGATAAAGCTGCAGTTTGATCAGATTTCCGTTGGGTTATGGATGTATGAGCTTATGGTGTGAACGCAAGAGCGCGTCCAGCGCACAGGATCGCACACAGCCGCGGTGCCCTCTGGAATCTGCATGACAGGTGGTGGAAGATATCGCTAGATTGAGGATGCGTCTATTACTTTTTATTGTATATCATTTGGACTAATCACTGCCGTTTTTCATCCGACACGCCTAGATTGGGCAGTATTCAAACATAGTTATTTCACAGGGTGTCCCGAAATTGATGCGCGGTTGGTGCTGTCTATCATTTTCCCTCTCCCGAACGCCGAGTGAGTAGAACTTCACCGCGATCAGCCCCAGCGCATCCCGCCGTGTCAGGCGATCACATGACCCTAGCGGCCGGCCTGACCGCGGTCGGTAGCGGGCGGGAGAGATCATTCCCTTCGAGATAGCCAACGCGTCGAGTCCGCATATCGCCAATGGTGACAGAGCACAAGCCATCGATCCGCCACCGCGCGTTGCGATAGTCAAGGACAGCATGACCCAAGTTCAGGTGGCCAGCGACTTGGCCGCCGACTACTACGTCAGGGAGGTGCTGGGGAAGACTGCAGCCCTGGAGGTGCAGCGGAGGAAGGAGACTGGCCGACCAACCAAGGTCAAACTCATGCCAGACGTGTCGAGGGCGATTTTTCACCAGGATGGCGCTCAAGCTCATCACGCTAGGAAAACCCAGGACTGTTGCCGCTTCAACTTCTCGGGCTTCTGAGAGAAGGATACGTGGCCAGGCAACAGCCGCGACATGTCGCCGATCGAGAACTCTGGGCGACCGTCAAGGAGGAGCTCAGCAGGATGTCGCTGGCCGTTTCAGAGAAGACCCTGTGTCATAAGGTGCAAGCGGCGCAGTGGAGGTTCAATGCAGAGACTCTCGACAACCTGATGTGCGGCATGCCGGAGCGCATGCGACAGCGTATGCGTACAACTGCGCGGTGACTATATTGGCAAATAAATCATGAACCGATGTCAATTATATTCTCTGTTAGTCAGGACGATACACCCGCGCATCAGCTTTGGGCCGCCCTGTACATTGCCGGCTTGGTTTCTCCAACGTAGGGATAAGTGGATCAGCCTGCGCCGGCATGATCTGTTTCACATGCGACACGTGGAGGTTGTCGTCAGTAGCGCCGCCCGTTATCTTCACGAGGCGGTGTCCGAGCAATCTGGCTGGCCTGGTCTGATCTGATCTGATCTGATCAAGACTGCGTCTGCACCCTGTAGGAATGCCTGCAGGCCGCCCGGTCGTCTGTCAGCTGGCTCTGTCTGCCGCTAAATTGTCACGTGACCAGCACCGAACTCTGTCCGCTAGATGTTGTCATCCGACTGGCTATATCTCTCTGAATGTCACAGGGTTTTCATCCGACAGCCGCCTGACCCTACACCTGTATCAGAGCCATCGTCCCATCGCCTATCATAAGGCTCTCATTTTAAGGTTCTCATCATCTCATAAGGCATCCCTGTCCAGTTTGCCGGCCACATAACTCCCACCTGACCACGCTGCACGACATGCCGGCAGGACTGCTTGAAGGCCATCGGCAAGGCCTATCACCCGGAGTGCTTCGCCTGCGCCTACTGCGGAGGTCTGTTCGGCAACTCAGCCTTCTTCCTCGAAGACGGACTGCCCTACTGCGAAAACGGTGAGACGCGAAAGCAGAGGGTATATGCCCAGGACACCAGCCTTGCATTGCGGGCGGGTATGAGGACAGACGTGACAGGACAGAATAGGACAGGTATGAGGACTTTAAATAAGTATGACAGGGCAGGACAGGACAGAACAGGGCAGATATTAGGACACAGAGGAGAGGTATGACGGGCCTGGACAGGTGTGATGACGAGCACGAGAGGCCAGAACAGGACAGGTATGAGGACGGTGGTAAGGTGGTATGAGGACAGGTAAGGCGGGTGTGTCAGGCCAAGACAGGCGTGAGGACAGGCATGACGGGGTAGAACGGGACAGATATGGCAGGACAGGACAGGTATGTTGACAGCCATGGCAGGACGGAAAGGGACAGGTATGTTGGACAGGTGCGACAGTACAGAAAACGGGTATGTGGGCAGATATGACAGTGGTATGGATATCCTGTCGGCTGCTGGATGGCAGAGCGCCTCTGCCATGTTGTCGTAGCCACTTCGCCCCGTCGTAGTGTCATCTTGCCTTGCCGAGGCATTGCTGTGGAGTCAGTGATCTTGTCCCGCTGCCCCGTCGCGGCGCTGTCATGGCGTCACACTCTCGTCCGCGACGCCATGTTGTGACGCTGCGACGCCATGTTGTGACGTCACAGACTGGAACGAGCTGTTCACCACCAAGTGCGTCGGCTGCGGCTTCCCGATCGAGGCCGGCGACCGCTGGGTGGAGGCCCTCAACAAGAACTTCCACTCTCAGTGCTTCAAGTGCGCGGTGAGCAGCTGTTGGAGCCGGACGGCCGGACCGACGGTCCCGCCCCTGCAGGGCACGCCGTTTGACCCAGACCTGACCGGCTGCGCGTGGAGGTGTGGCTAAGCGCTGGTTTGCTCCGTTTGCGGTGCTTCTCCTCTCCGGCGATGAGTTTCCACGATGTGGCCGTTTGGTCACACGTGTTAACTTGACAGTTGGAGAGCAGCGATAAAAGCGCCTTAACACCTTGACGAGGAAGGTATATCGTCAAGTATACATGTCACGTTTGGCTTTCATCTTAGACATAACCACCGGTTCCTTCTCCTTCGTGTGGCTTGCCTCTGTATTCAGGCGCAGTGTGGCGTTGTGTGTTGCGGGTGTATTACTTCGCTCATGCGTGTCCTTCCTGTAATTTCGGTTGCGTGGTAGCAGGAATTTGAAATCAGACATCAGCGTTTTGAAAAACAAGGTTACTGTTTTCATTCCTCGTTTGTCCCCATTATAACATTGTTCAATCACTCATTCTTGTAACAGGGGGTTAAAATTGATGCCATAACGTAAATTTATGTTGAATGAGTAACCGAGCATGAATTCTTGCAGCATAAGCTAAAATAATGCCTTACAGAGACGTTGTATTGCGCCCAAATTTCGGTTATGCTGATGTCTGTTTTGAAAACATGCCCGTAGCACTGCTCTGTCGATATGCCTTGTTTTCGTCCTGTACTCTCACTTCCGCTGCAGCTGCTGTGTTTCGTAACGGCCCGCCTACGGCACGAGCAGCGACGCCCCCCCCCCCCCTTCCCATCAAGCCTCCTGTTGGGTAAATTCTTATTCCTGGGGATGCATTCGATATCAAGCATCATTCAACTCTTGCAAACAACGCAGGGACAACAATTGGGATAGTTTTTTTCTACAAAGTTTTCGACTTAGTGCTGATATTATGCAATGTCTCTGATGGAACGCAGTCATCTGTCAAGGTTTGTGTTCCGTATATATATATATATATATATATATATATATATATATATATATATATATATATATAAATATATATATATATATATATATCATGCGTATCATGTGCCGCGTAACCACCGCGAAGCATTTGGAAATGCACAAAGTGTTGAACTGAATATTTCTTTGCTTTGATTCAATGTTTTAATTAACAACACGTTTGGAAAAATTCATCCAAATGGCCACAGGCCACATCAAATTCGTTATCACTTAATGTTTCGAACTTGGTGCAGATTCCCAGAGCTTGACTAAGGCGTTATGTCTCACGCATCGATCTGTGATAAACCTCTGGCGTGCCCCCCCCCCCCCCCCCCTATTGCCAAGTCAAACCCAAGCTACAAGACTATAACACCACATGAACCAATCCATATTTTTGGGAAGACTTTGAACACCGCCTCACTCTGGAGGGCCAATGCTGAGTTTCAGCCGCGGATGACAAGGGGCCAATGCTGAGTTTCAGCCGCGGATGACAAAGGGCCAATGCTGAGTTTCAGCCGCGGATGACAAACACCTTGCTATCCCCGCAGTTCCTGTCGCGGCCGACGGTTACGCTTTTCCTCGCATGCATCATTACACGGCAAGTGTGATGAAACTTTCGCAGATATGGTGGATCCGAGGCCCGAATTTCATAAGATTATGCCCTCCCCCCCCCCCTCTCTCCTCCCCTGGATGTTGGTGCCCTCAGATCCTACCTTAACCATACGCGCGCCGGCACTGCGTCAGCCGCGCCGCTGCTCGTGCCGCCTGAAGTTTAAGCGACGATCGCGCTGCTTATTCTTCTAACTTTGGCCGCCGTCTGTTTCTTCTGCTTCGTCTGCGGCTTTGGCCGCCGGCCGCAGGTGTGCCGCACTATCCTGGACGGCATGCAGTTCTACGCCAAGGCCGGCCGTGCCGTGTGTAAGGTGCACGCTGGCAAGTTCTAGCCGCCGAGGTCAGTGCCCCAGGCGGAGGTCAGGTCAGGGCACGAGACGCGTGCTCGGAGCACTTATTTGTTTAGGCGCAACCTGATTTTTTCGCGGTTAGTTGTTCGTTTGTCTGTCAGTGTTGGTGGTCAGATGCGATGTGTGGGCTCTGCTGGGGCAAAGAGTGGCAGCTGCAAGGATTGACGGAGGGTCAGTGACCTAGGGTCAGTGTAGGTGCTGGCGGCCTATCAAGGTACCACTCAGCATTTTTTCTCGTGCCTTTTGTGTCGATATTTCGGGGAGAGAACAGACAGTTATAGGCTATTGGCTGTTAATCCGTGTTAAGTCCTTTTTTCATAGATGTGTAAATATCACGTGTTGACACTGGTGCTCAAGCAATCGGCGTCTAAATCGGCCAGGCCGTACTTAAGTGCGATAGCAAGCTAACAGTTCGGTCAACAGTTCTTGTTAGATAGCGGTGAAGTATTCCTATGATGTGACAAGCATAGCTGACTCCACACTGTTTCAGTTAGTGTAGATTTTTCCCGCTTAGCCTGAATGCTTTAGCTAACATCGCAACCATGGGCGTTACGTACGAACAAGATCCATATCCCAGAAGCTGTGCAACGTGCTGCCTGAGCTTCATCCGTGGTATGTCTTTTTATAAATGTCCTGAGGGTTATGACTTTGGTGTAGAGAAAGCGAGGAATAAGTTGTATCATCCTCTGTAAGTGGGTTTGGGATGCCACATTCCTAACGCGGTAGGTGCTGGACACGTGCCCCTTTTGTCCGCGCCATTTAAAAGTGACACAGCTTCACCAGATACCCACTGTTAAAAGTGACACAGCTTCACCAGATACCCACTGTTTTTGTTTTGTTTGCACCTCACCATAACCTTTTGCAAAGAGTCAAGTGCGACAGCTCATCGAGCTGCTGAGCAGCATCCCACGTTCGGGACAGCTTGATCTCATATTTATCGAGGTACGCGTTTGTCTGGAGCTTTAGCAGCCCAGCTTCACTGTCGTTCGTTTCGAAAGGCTGAACCGCGGCTTTGGGCGCAGTGAAACGAGCGAGCACAATTCACTTGTCTTACTTCAGAATGCTATTGCTCAAGACGATTTTGAACGCCTTTGTTAGGCAATGACGTATTATGGACACCAGTGACGTCACTGTGATTTCATTTTTGATGCTGTCCCCAGATCTGCGGCAACAACTTGGAGGGCCAGAGCTTCTTCGCGAAGCAGGGACGGCCGTTCTGCAAACACCACGCGCGCATGTAGACCTCGAACGCGCCATGTTTGGTCAGAGACGTCAAACGGAGGAAATCTCCGGAACGGAGGCGCCCCAGGGCCTGCCTCTGGCCGGAATCTCCCGAGTGAAAGTGCCAGCGCGGCCGCGGCACGTGCGCCAGCTGGCGGTGTAGCGTTTTGTACCTCTAGTCTAGGCGATTGCGACACCGGATTGTTCTCCCTCCTGCCCGCTGTATGTCTGGCTGCTGTGTCACCAGAGGCTACTGCGCGGCGCATGGTAGCCTCTGCCGAGGTGTGGGCGCCGTGTTTGTGCTTGTTTGCGATGAGCTGCTCGGCGTTCCTTGTTTGGTTTGTCGGCACCACGAGCCGGGCTGAAGAATTTGATGCTAGTCAGTCAACCGCGCCCGCTCTAGTCCAGCGCATTGTTTTTCTGTCTTGTTTCGTTTTTTCCGTCTGTCTGTCTCTCTCCATAGCTGCGCGGTGGGCTGCAGTGGCGCCGCCACAGGCTGCTCGCTGCCCGCCTGCGCCTGTCCCGCGTGGACCAGGCCGAGGCGCAGGCGGCCGGTGACACCTGACGCGCCCTTCCTCGCCGAGGCTGAGAGGCCAGCGACCGCAATAAACACTAAACAGACCGCGGCCAGTGTCAACCAACGGACAGCACCGGCCGGACATGAGGTATTTATTACACTTTTTGTACACCGACGGCGCGGGCAATACAACAAAACGGCGAGCACTCGTTAGTGCACACGCGGTGTACACTCACGCGCTCAGTTGTCTGCCGGCGATTCTTTGTACACTGCCGACAGCGAACAGAAGTCACACATTCGAACCGGCCTCGAGCGATGGCAAGGCGGGGCGGGGTTAAAAACACGGAAGATAAAAGAATAGCAGGAATGTGGCCGATCACGTGGTAACCCAGTGAAGACCGGGTCCACAGACCGACCACAGCCTCCGGCGACGCTCGCAATTGGGCTGTGCCTGTCGGTTGATATCACTGTTTCCCTGATCGGATGCGCGCCACGGTCACCACTCAGACCGTTCAGAACGTGGCTCACCACCACGGGCCCCTCCGCCCACACGCCGCAACAGAGCTACAACACAGAACGGGCCGTGGTCTGAACAGCTCGACCACACTGTCGGCGCCGCGCAGGCCACGCTGAAACGAGTCAACAGTACTGACGCGCTTCAGTGTGTTGTTACTGCTGTTAGCTCGTGTCAACGAGCCAACAACATTGACTCGTTTCAGCGCGTTGAGACACGATAAAGACGTCGAACACCTACCCGGGCGTATGTCAAACACAGCAAACACAGAGGGTGGCTGTGCTTATTGGTGTAAACGATTTTCACCACGAACGCTCGTGCTTTTGACTGAAATGTCTGCTGTCAGCATGAGCTCGCGTCGAAAAAAAGATTTGGCTCGAGCGACACTTCGGAAGCCAATGCAGCTGGGCTAACCAGCCCACCTCCAGGCCAGCAGTCGAGTGGGGGGTTCTGCCAAGTCGATGCACCAGCTTTAAATATTCCACAAGTATTAAAGTTATGTACACACGGTGCAACGCAACAGTGAATGCCAGTGACGGAGTTCATACTCTCACATGAGCTGAACTTAATTTTTTACAGCGTTTGGTATGGCGTGCTGCTCACAAAGCCAGGGAGTGTGCCCCTACCGGTACACAAGTCGCACCTGTGAGGGCTTTGCGCGCCGCTCGGCGTCGGACAAACCAGCATAACAGCAGCACGCTACAGTCAGCCAGGCTGAGGCACCGAATACCACGCGTGACGCACGCATCATCGTCATCGCATGCTCATCCCCATCATCATCATCAAATATTAATCAGGACCCCGCACATGCCACACACTGGCACTCGGAACTGCGCATGCGGGTGCTAATTGTAGGCAAGATCACATTCTGTGCACGCTTGCTGGCGTCTTTCTCCTCGTGCACATCATCGCGCGGCGGGAATGAGGAGAAACGAAAGTACGGCGGGCCGGCCATAGATGGCGGGGTGGGCGGTTTGCTCTCGCGTGCGGGAACCAAAATCGGTGGAATCACTTCATCACCAGTTAATAATGGCAGCATGTACAGTGACATCGCAATCAGAGTCAGGATTCGCTGACTGCTCAAGGGATCCAGGTTACCAGAACCACGTAAAAATATAAGCAACCGTGTCATGGAGAGCTCGGCGAGCCTAGTCAACTGGACACGGTGACGATTATTTCCAACGCGAAGTGCCCCATACGCATACATAGTGGCTACGACGGTCCAGATGCTGAATTCCCACAGCAAAAGAAAGCGCTTTACTTGAGAATGGCGACACCATGACGTCGTTTGGCTCCGATCATGTTACGGGACAAATTCAGTCAACGTCTTCGTAAGCGGTGATGTCCAGCTCGGCAGCCCAGGTGGCTGGCTGAAGGGAGGACGCGCCGAGCGAGCTGCAAAGCAACGGGTCAAAAGTCGGAACACTCCATAGGTGACAACGGGTCACAGGTCGGTTAAGTCATAGATAACGACGAGGCACATGTCGTAAGGTCAAGACAGGTCGGGAAAGGTCATAAGTGGCGACAGGCCGCTGGTCAGGGCAGTTCATAGGTCAGGACAGGTAACCAGTCATGACATGTCATAAACCGACAGGCCACAGGCCGGGACATGTCAAAGGGGGCGACAGGCCACGGGATCAGGACGGGCAACAGGTGACGACAGGTCTCAGGTCACCTGTTAAGAACAGGTCAGAGGTGAGAGAGCAGAACGACGGGTCGCGCAGCTGCCAACGCAGTGTTTAAAACGGCTTATGGAAAACCACTGCCGTCGTGAGTTACAGGGTTCCAGTCAGATTAATTTGGGAGGGACTGGGCTGAATCCAGTTGTCAGAAGAACGTGCGAGGCCAGTATCGGAGTGTCGGGGCCCGCTTGCTTGAGCCCACTGGCACAGCCTGGGGACACGACCCAGAGCCGATCTCCACCCGGTGGATCCAGCGTCACCCACGAGTACAGCCCTGCGACCCCGTGAAGCCGCCGCCACAGTCCTGGGTCCGGGCTGGCTACACGATCGCGGTTCATCACCCGGCTGCAGCCATCATCGGCCAGCACGTGAAGGCGCCGCCGTCAAGGGCACAGTCTGATCACGTGGTCCGAGACGACCGGACCCACCTGAAGCCGATGTCGGTGCCGTGCGTGTGCAGCTGGGTTAGCACCCGATCCAGCGAGGTCACCAGCCTGCGGGCGTTCTCCTCGGAGAAGCACAGCGGTGGCGTCACGTACATGACGTTGCGGAACTCGCCCTCGGCGGCGGCCACGATCCGTTCGTCCTCCTTCAGCCTGAGGTCACAGCAAGGTTACAGGTCAGCATGCGGTCACCAAGGGTCACCGTCAGGCGTTGTGGCGGCATCCGAAGAAGTATTGACGCCTTACCAAAAGCCAGCATGCGGCTAATTAAATGTCACCATCTGGACAAACGGAGTTCTTCGGCCCAAGGTGAGGCCCCAAGGTCAACACCTAATTCCATGTCAGGAGTTCTAAGTACAATTTCCTCTGTTACCGAGAAGGAGACTGAAGATGATGCAAGGAATGTGATGACTAAGTGCTCGCATTTTGGGAGGGCACTAAAAGTGTCAGGCATCTACTTTTACTTTTCACCAGATTATTTACGACGCCGTGAATGTTCCCGACATAGAGCATCGTCGATCAGACTGGTATTCGACCGGCATCGACATGACGCGATGGACAACGGCCCCGACTCCAACGCCGACACGCTGACTGACCTGTAGATGACACACTGACACACCTCCCTGTCGGGCTTCTTCTCCGCCTGGCTGTTGACGAACTCCACTCCCATCTGCAGACCCTCTCCCCGCACGTCGCCTGTGCGATCGGGCGGAAGAGATCACTCCAGACCCGGCACAACACCCACTGGTCAGGGACACGTCTGGCGACGCACGCGGCGCCAAGAGTATGTTAAACTCACAACTGAAGCTGTCGAAGGGATCACTCCAGACCCGGCGCAACACCCACTGGTCAGGGACACGTCTGGCGACGCACGCGGCGCCAAGAGTATGTTAAACTCACAACTGAAGCTGTCGAAGGGATCACTCCAGACCCGGCGCAACACCCACCGGTCAGGGACACGTCTGGCGACGCACGCGGCGCCAAGAGTATGTTATGTTAAACCCCCAGTATGTTAAACCGACAACTGAAGTTGTCCAACCTTTTTTGGTTCCATTATGGAACTTCCGTTCCACTTCCACTTCCTAGATGGAGATTCACTCGGATAAACTGCTACCAATTGTTAATTCTAAAGGCCTGTTTGACATGACGATATGGATGCCATTTGCTCCCTCTCCTGCTTCTCCTCATGAGTATCACCCATGTTACGTGGATGTTCTGTCACATGACCATGAATATTTACGCCGCCATCAACGCAATGCCACCGCTATTGTGCACGTACACCGCACCACGGCCAGCAGTTCCCACCGATCATGGCCCCATCACTAAGCACTAACAGAAAAAAAAAACAATTACAACATAGCGTGGTACCGGCAATACCCGCAGACTTGGCGACACAGCGGTGAAAACCCGGAGATAGGGACGACACAGCGGTGAATACCCAGAGATAAAGCCGACACAGCGGTGAATACCCGGAAATATGGGCGACACAGCAGTGAATACCCAGAGATATGGACGACACAGCGGTGAAAACCCAGAGATATAGGCGACACGGCGGTGAAGACCCAGAGACATGGGCGACACGGCGGTGAAGACCCAGAGATATGGGCGACACGGTGGTGAAGACCCAGAGATATGGGCGACACAGCGGTGAAGACCCAGAGACATGGGCGACACGGCGGTGAAGACCCAGAGACATTGGCGACGCGGCGGTGAAGACCCACAGATATGGGCGACACGGCGGTGAAGACCCAGAGATATGGGCGACACGGTGGTGAAGACCCAGAGATATGGGCGACACAGCGGTGAATACCCAGAATATGGGCGACACGGCGGTGAAGACCCAGAGACATGGGCGATGCAGCGGCGGACTGCGACGCACATTGTACTGCGCACATTGCCGCGCTAAGGAACTGGGCAGGGTAATGGGCAACAACGGCGCGAAGGAACGGTGGGGGAGTGGGTCCATGGCACCCCCACTCTTCGAGAATGCTGATCATCAACCCTATGGTGGCGCTTGGAAAGAATGAAAGGAAAATTCGAATTGGTACCCACACTTCGTGAGACGCTCCTCTGCCGTGAGCGGGGCAAGCACTCATCTCAAATCACGTAACTCACCACACGATCGCACTCATCGCAAATCGCATTACTCTCCACATGATCGCACTCATCACAAATCGCATTACTCTCCACATGATCGCACTCATCACAAATCACACAACTCACCACATGACCGCACTCATCACATCACACTCATCATACAGTCACAGCTGGAGTAAGCTTCATCAGCTACCAACGAAGCTGCGGATTCGCCAGGCAGGACACGTGATTTGCACACCGTTCAGAAACGTATGCCCGAATTTACACAGTGGATGACTGGCCGGTGCGCAGGCGCTTAGTGACAGCAGGGTACCTTGGGCTTGCACGACCCGATTCTCTTTGTTTCCGTGATTGGCCCAAGGCCTGACTCTCACCAATGTGGCCGTGTTTGTTCTTGAGCAGCAGCAGCTCCTTCTTCAGCATCCGGCCAATCCGCTTGGCCTTGGCCATCAGGTCCTCGCGTTCCATTACCTGCAGAACCCTGCTTCCGATGGCGCACACCAGCGGCGTCGGACGGTACTGAAAGTTCACAAAATATTCACCAGATGTCGGGCACGGAAAGGTTCGCAAGACACTGAGAGTTGTTTGAACCTTTCAGCGTTTGAATCATTAGAAACATGAATTATATTCCACATACCAATCACCTGCACCTTCCTTCTGAATAAGATGGTTTAGCTCGTAAAAGAAGGCCAAACAAAAAAACCTATGCAGATTTCTTGGTCTACTTCAAGTGGACAGAGGGTCGATGAGACCAAGACAGCATGCAAATGATTCTGGGGATTAAGGTGCAAGCGATGTTGGTCAGACAGGCACTTTGGCATCTCTGCACGCGATAGGCAAATACGAGGGACTTGGCGTTGCCATTCCTCAGTAAACCGGTCTTGGATCGTTGTTGGCTGCCGATCTACGTCACTCCCCTCTCAAAAAAGATTCATGCAGACTTCGACCGTCATGAACCTCCCGGGAATGTTGATCAACATATCACGCAGTATCTATCCACCACTTGGCACCACGGCACATGGTCGCCGTGTTGTCCCGGCCACGCCGTGGCTCGTGCACGGCGAACGCCCTGCACCGCTGCAGCACACTTATCTGATTGTTTGTGCGGAAGCTTGGCTTCAGGTACCTTGGTGACGAAAAGCGCAAGCCCTTTTAAGCCGCCACGTGCAACGGAAGCGAGCCCGTATTCTAAGCCTCGACACCAGCAGCGCGGTTTGACGCTCCCGCTACCACCGCCGGCGTGGTGTGAGGCGCGCCCGGGATGCCAGTGGTGCCACGCCTCACATAGTAACCCAAACAAACCCGCATATGCGGCCACCCACGTGGCTGAGACGCATATCACGCGGCACTGAGAAAAAGGGGAAGGCTCGAACGGCTCTTGATGCACTGTCAGCCAACCAGCGCCGTGCACAAAGGCCCAGGCCGAGCTCCGTGGGAATGGACGTGTCAATGCCAGACTTGGTGAGGCAGGTGGCCGTCATGATCCACTACCACGGCAGTGCTTCACAGGGCCGTCAAGGTCAAGGTGGGGCCCACAAAGGCCGTCAGGGTCATGGTGGGGGTTTAAAGGGGCCACCAGGGTAATGGTGGGGTTTACCGGACCGTTCCGTCGTTTCTTCTGATTCACCGCGACGAAGTGTGGACCGGCGGAGTTGGTGGATTGTCAGGGGGGGGGGGGGGAGGGGGCATACTCACCCTCTCTGTGAGGTCGGGCTCCCGGACGGCGTTGAGAATGGTCTTGCGGGTGAGCGCGGCCGCCATCGGGTACCCGTTACCTGGCGGCCGGGAACACCAGCGTCAACGGCACCCTGACAACAGGGTAACACCGGGGTCACGTGTAACCTGTCACCTGACAGCAGCGGAGCACCGGCGTCCGTCACGGCAGCCGAGAATAGGCCTCAGCCATGTCACATGGCTTGCCCTGGAATCAAGGGCCTCCAGACAGCACTGGCCCTTGATTCTAGGGCACTCTGTCGCACTGCCACGGCACGCCAGGCGAGGCCAGGCCAAGTAGCGATGACTCATATCAGATGTGGGTTATGGTGGTCCAATTACCAGCTTATACCATCCAGTTTACTCACGGCCTGCTGGAATGCCAAGCAACAGCACGCCGAGGCCAGCGATAATATGGCGACTTATGAGGTTTCGCCATGGTCTCCATGCGGTGGACCATCTGTAACCTGCTTGGCAACTCTGGCATGAAGCGATAATGATTGCAAGCTTCATTAACGCATGCGCAAGCAGATGCATTACTTGTGTGGTCCAGTTTCTTTACCTGCACTTCTCGCTGCTGTTGGAAATACCCCCGGTATTTTGTTTACGCAAGTGATCGCACATAACGTCATATCTCAACGGCCCGACGGCCAGCAAGATCACCTTTTTTATCGTCGAAGTAAAAAGAGGCAGCCTGCGCGGCGCGACAAGCCTGTCCCTGACCAGCCAGCCGTTTTCAAGCCATCGACCGAAGTCGGGCGATGGTGCCAACTGAGGTCAGCGGCCCCGGTGGAGGGGGAGGGGGCGACCGCGAGCGGTGGCCGGCACCGGTCCGCGACCCACCAATGGGTTTGCCGCAGCAGATGAAGTCGGGAGTGCCCTGCTCGCGCTGGAAGCCCCAGAAGGTGGAGCCGTTCCGACCCAGTGCCGTGCACATCTCATCCACAATGGTGAGCGCGCCGATGCTGTGGATGTAGCTGTGGACAGAACGTGGAGAGGTAAGGGTGGGCAGGTGCGGGTGTGGTAGGTATAAGTGGGGTGCTTGCAGGGGCAATACAGAGGTGGACGGACACGGAGGGCGGTGTGGAGGTGGATAGGGGCGGAGGGCGGTGTATAGGTGCGGAGATTCGAAGGGTCGCGCAAAAGAGGACAGATAAGGATTTCGTAGAAAGACAGGTCCGGGACGAAAGCAGAGGTGAAGATATGTGAAGGGTAGCGAAGAAGTGGACAGACACAGAGTACAGAGCAAAGATGGACGACACAGAGCACGGTTTATAGGTAGACAGACACGGAGTACAGAGCAAAGGTGCCCATGTACGGGGCACGGTCTGAAGATAAACAGACACGGAGTACAGAGCAAAGGTGGCCATGAACAAAGCACGATTTAGAGATGGACAGACACGGGGTACAGAGCAAAGGTGGCCGTATACGGGGTACGGTTTAGAGGTGGACAGACACGAAGCGTTCCCAAAAGATATGATGATGTTTGGGGTTTTGTAAGTGCGTCGACCACCGAGGCCATTTGGCGCTCGAATGTACTACTTCCTGAGCGTTATGTTGCTAACAAAGGTGAGCATATGGCATGCAGACTGATAGGCTCACAATCGACAGCAATTGATGAGGTTCTATTTCAGGATGCTTTACAATCAGCCAATGACGTCAGTGGCCTAGGGCCACCGAAGAATGTCTGCCGCTCGGCAGACAGCCGTCGACAGCTGACCAAAACATGACTGACAGTCGGAACTTTAGAAATGAAGACTTGAGTGCGCTGGCTCGAGTACCTACTTCACGAGCAATACGGTTAACTAGCGACTAGACTTCGTTGAGTGTACCGAACCAAAAACCAATGGGAAAAACGGACACATGTGATAAGTTAACGCAATGCAAGCGTACAGATCAGAGCGCAGAAAGTCCTATCAGCACTAGAGCCGCCAAAATCTGCAAATCACCTATGCCATCAAATACCTCCTCCACCTGCATGACTTTCCCATCATCGTCACGAGGAAGTTCGAAATATTCGCGATTCAAAGCCAGCAGTTATCAGGAGTTACAAACCGTCCCGTACCTGCACATCACATGGGCCTGTTATTACCGGATGGTGGCGGCCACAGCCAGGAAGGAATACGACTACCGAATCGCAGCGTGACTCTACATGGATTCCCCGGCCACACCTTACTGAAATGTGACCCAAATGAAGCCCAGCCCGCGGAAACGGCACGTTTGGCGAGCACCATTAAAAACGGCCACGCCTGGTCGCCGGCGACCGAGTCATGGCGACCGAGCCACGGCGACCGAGCCACGGCTACCGAGTCATGGCGATCGAATCACGGTCATCGAATCACGGCCACCGAGTCACGGCCACCGAGTCATGGTGATCGAGTCCCGGCCATCGAGTCACAGTCATCGAGCCACGGCGACCGACTCACGGCGACTGAGTCAAGATGACCTAGTCATGGCGGCCGGGTCACGATGACCGGGTCACGGTGACCGAGCCAAAGTCACCGAGACACGGCGGCCGGGCTCGTCAGTGACCAGGCGCCCGACGCCTGAGGCGATCGATGGCAGCACGTTGCGTGGCGGCTCCCACGAGCTGGCAACAGACCGTCCAGCCGCGGTCGGCCGCCGCCCGACGCTCTGTTGCCTGGCAACGTGCCGCCGCCGCCGACGGCACATCCGGTTGCGACGCGGCGTCGCCAGGTTCGTCGCGCGAGGCGCGGCATTAGTGGCGCGGCACATTTCGCACATAACCCCGGGGGGGGGGGGGGAGAGCGATCGTTAGGGATACGCGGAGCATCAAGCGAAGCTGGCGTTTGAGATGTAAGTAGTCTTAGCGACATCAGATGGTTAAGTGACGTCAGATTGAAACAAATTGAGAATGATTTCAATACCCTAGCGACGCCCCATCGATGTAGATTTACACGTTGAAACTGCGACAGGAAACTGTTTTGGCTTGAGATATCAAGGCTAACGTTTCTTTCGTTTTTGTTTGTTTGGCATGCCATGGACAAAGTTGCAGCAGGCTGGCGTTCGAAAACAGGGCCTGGGGAGGAAATGTCCCATTTTTAGAGCATCTTCCCACAGATATCTGTCCCCATGGTCAGAAACAATTTTCATGGGACAAGAGCGGCTAAGCTTGGATTGTGGAGTAAGCTGTGGTATAAAGCTTATCAATGAAATGAAGATATTGACTACATACCAGACAGGCAAAAAGCCATGAGTCTTTATTTAACAGCTCTTTACGCTTTGGTTGTTTTCAGACAATATAAGCAAGACATATGCACTTAACAAGCTACTTTTTGGTTCTAAAAATATTGCTGAGAAGCGATTCCACAAAAGTAAAGGCGACGTCATTAGTGCCACTTTCCGTCAAAACGTCACGTGACCATTCAATCTCTGAGTACCTGTGTGCGCTCCTGCCAAATATCAACGATACAAACTTGGTAGGTAGTTACGTGCATTTGCGACGAATATTATGCACATAGATAATACAGTAGTAATAGCCTTGCTCTTTGGGGAAAAGCCAGGAAAATTGGGATATAGACGCATTGATATTTCGGCAGTATACCTGCACCGAAATGAATAGCAGGAGCCTTCTACTGTTCGTTTCGATAAAGGCATGTTGCCGAAATATCAACGCATTTATATCTCCATTCTTCTGGTTTTTCTCCAAGGAAAAAGGCTTTTATTACTGTCTTACATAGATGCAAACTGGTGTGCGTCAGCTGCATAGCTGAATTTCTTGGCTTTATTGTATTCTTAAATACGACAACAGTATACCGCACACCCTGGCATTAATTTGGCGTCACACAACGGCAGTGGCCCATGAACAACAAGAGTCTGGAGGGCCTGAAGTAAATTTTTTCTTGAGTCTCGCGCAATATATGGATATTTAAAAATCACTGAAGTCTAGGAACATACCAAAACCAAAAAACCTGCGAGTAAAGCACCGGAATAGTTCCCTTTTTCATCACCTGGGAGCGCCCCTGTCAGGAAAGTTGTGAAAGTCCACAGTGCTTATGAGTCCTTATGATATACATGAATCATCAATTAATCTGGCATCGCTCCTCTACCCGGAATGCGATGGAAGTGCGCTGCACAACACGGAGCTTCTTCCCGGACGTAGCGCATTTCCTACCTACCAAAAAAAGTTATTGAACTGTCTCTGCACGACTGATGTCTGTTTTTGTGATGTCTGTCGGTTTTGACGCATGCATATGACGAAGATAAATGTTCTATGCTGATGTACCATCATGACACATCAATGCATCACTGATCATGATGTAACGCGTACAAACGAATTTCCTGACAAGTCACAAAATTTTGTGGAGCTGTGGCAAATAACACTGGGGAGGGGGGGGGGGGAGAGGGAAGGGGCGTAGGCTAAACGGTCTGGACTACGAGCATGCTAGAGTTCAGTCGGTACTGCATGTTGTTTTGACAAAGAGGCTGTTGATTCAAGGCTGATCGCCGTCTTAATCGACTCCCACTACAATAGGCGAGAATCCACCAGCCGCAAACCAGTATAACTCAGCTGCAGGAGTCGTAAAACAGCGGCGAGACGGCTCAGCTTGCGGAAATGAGAACAAAGAAGGGGCGGCATGCTCGCGACGGCCGTCCCAAACACGTTAGCGTGCTGAGGGAGGCACGTGGCCCGAGCACGGTCGTACTCACTCGTGCATTTTCTTCAGCCAGCCCCGGGGCGGCACAGCCATGCCGGCGGCCGTGAACACGGGCTCGCTGAGGAAGCAGGCGATCTGAGAACACACACGCGACAGTCACGCGGGGTTGAGCAGGCAGACGATCTGAGCAGCTCAGTCGCATGGTGGGTGGGGAGAGGACGATGTAAAGCAGACGTTACACAGTCACACGAACAACTAGGAAGCAGACGATCTGAACGGGCGCGACGGTCCCGTGGCGGTTATGGAGTGGGTATCCCGAAACAGGCGCGACGCAGTCGCGTAAACAGCTGAAAGGCAGGCGACCTGAACCTGACCCGACAGTCGCGTAAACAGCTGAGAGGCAGGCGACCTGAACCAGACCCGACAGTCGCGTGACAGTTGGAGTAAGGACAAAAACAAAACTAAAAAGATTCGGGTCGCGTGACACCGGAACGACAAAAAATCGGGCGAAACATCATAGTCACGTGACGTTGGGGAGCGGAGAGCTACAACACACGCGGACGGCGTGTCACAGAGCTGCGCCATGGCGACAACACGCATGGCATATCATGAAACATGACAGTCACGCTGTAAACGGCATCACGCTGCCGGAGACTGCAGCATCAGAGGAACGCGGACCACACTACCCACATCAGCTTTGACGACGCTGGCACGTGTCTCGTAAGCGTCTGGACATTCTCAGACAATCATCGCCAACCTTATCCGACACCGGTCTTGCTATGTAAGCGGTCTTTCCTATCGCCTGCTCGTGACTGTTATTGCTGTTTAAATACCAGACTGATTCAAACATGCTTCGAACATGCAGAGTTTTATCTAGTCGCAAATACCATCCTCATCAAAACTGTCGCGTGCACTGTTTGATGACGCGAACTGAGCGCCTGGAGAAAACCAGCTGAGCACGGAGCGACCGCTCAGGGAAAGCGCCGTCGTTGTCGTTCGGGTTTTACGACGCACCCAGCTGCTCGGGCTACCTGACGGCGAGTGGCTCTCACCCAGGCAGGAAGGGCACCGACCGTGGGCTACTGGGGAGGTACGATGATTCCGTCAACAACGACACTGCTCTCAAATCAGGATTGCACGCGCGTCTTCAACCTACCAAGCCTGGTTGTGATACATATACTCGAGGACAATCCTGCTGCTGCTCAAACACGAATCAAGGGTTTCCAGACGACTTTTCAACAAACGCTTAACACGCGCCCGGGTGGCCGGTTAATACCCTTCGCCCAGGCGGCCGGTTGATACTCCTCGCCCGGGTGACCGGTTAATACCCTTCGCTCGGGTGGCCGGTTGATACTCTTCGCTCGGGGGGGGGGATCAGTTCGACCTCACTGAGATCTCAGGAACTAAGGGAGCTAGAGACACCAAATTTACACGGTGTATTGGCCCTGTACCTGAACTCACTTATCTCAAATTTTGAGGTTCCTAGGTTATGGTCTTCGGGTCAAATCATGTCAAACAGGGCCAAACTCCAGATTGGTCTCCAAAGTACCCCCAGAATCTAGATACCTGCTCTAAGCAAAAGGACGCATGCTTGTTAAGGTCAGTTACCTTGTTTGACCCTTTGAAGATCATGGCGACCAAAGTCATACAAGACCACTTTGAGTTTTGTATTTGAATAAGCGACAAAGATAGAACAACAAAACTGTCTGGTTTTTACCTGAGTCTGACTTTCATAACTGAGCTTAGGTTAATGTTATTTGTTTGTTCAATTATTGTGTTGCCTAAGAAAGTACTTGAAAGATGTATGGCTTCATCTTCCCTAGAATTTGACTTCGCGGAAGCCATGGCCTGACTTTGACCTGTCGTATGTCAGCGACCTTGCAAGGTACACCCAAATTATTAATGCCAAACGATCCAATATTCAACTGTCTATAGCTGTGCACAATTTGGCACGGCTATGCCGCGCCGTTCGGAAACCATTCCAGAAAACCTTTGGGGGAGTCGTCAATTTGACCCTACATCCGAGCGCGTGTTACACCTCATTACAATGAACAGCAGCCCTGTAACTCCTACCAAAAACCGAACCAAACAAAAACCGACCCGAAGGACCGGACAACTGCGCGAGCCGATCAACCAGGCTCGGTGTGTTCACCGATCAAACCCAACACCGAATACCGAACTAACCAGCTCCCCGCTCTTCAGAAACAGCGCGGTGTCCAACGCATCGTTGTCATGACGACCACGCCTTCTCCTCTGCACGCCCAAGACGCATGCTGCGGCCATCGCACCTCCCTTATGACGTCATCCCTTGCACAGCCATCCCAGGGGAAAATGACGTCGGAAGGGCGAGGGCGGCGCTTAGCCCCGCGTAAGACGACGTTGTTTAGACGGTCAGCGTTGGGTTCGACGGATCAATAACAGGCATCGGGTGGCTCCCGATCTCGGAACGAACTAACGCCCTTCGCCATCCACCCGACGCTACACGTCACTGTGACGTAGCAAGTAACGCCATGGGGTGACAGACGATGGCTTCCTTGCAGCCTCCGCTGACAAGTGGGTCCAATGGACAGACATAGCCTCCGCTGACAAGTGAGTCCAATGGACAGACATAGCCTCCGCTGACAAGAGGGTCCAATGGACAGACATAGCCTCCGCTGACAAGTGGGTCCAATGGACAGACATAGCCTCCGCTGACAAGTGAGTCCAATGGACAGACATAGCCTCCGCTGACAAGAGGGTCCAATGGACAGACATAGCCTCCGCTGACAAGTGGGTCCAATGGACAGAAATATTGACCCGGCACTCGCGCTTTCCGCCAGGGTGGAAGATAAGCGACGCCACGTCATCTTAGTGGGAGCTGAGTGCGCCGTAAACTCTCCATAACCACAAACGCACGCACGCATGCACACACGCACGCACGCACGCACGCACGCACGCACGCACGCACGCACGCACGCACGCACCAGTTTATAACAGCCTGTTTCGGCTTCGATAGCGACAGTAAGAACAGCCGACTGGGTCTTTTTCTGACGGATCGACAACGAGAGATCACGCAGCGCTCAATGGCCGTCGCTTCGGCTTCCAATCAGACGGCGGCTACACCAGACTGTTACAAATGCCGCGATGATCAGCTGACATTCAGATGCTCAGAAGCTCAATGTCGAGAGCGCTCTCAGAAAGTGCCAAGGCTCAGTAACGGGCGATGCCTCGTACGGCATCATAACCACTGTTCCCTGCTCCAGCAATGTGCGATGTCACCGTTTTACGCTACGTCGACGCTCAGTGAAACTGACGCCAATTTATTCCGTCGACCATCTCAGTTGACGCCGGGCAGCAGCGTGGGACTGCTGTGAGTGAGCTGTTTGCTGGGGCGCCCTGGGAAGGCCACGCATAAACTCACAGCCGCCTCCGGCACAGCACCGGTATGTTGCACCCTTCGTTGGTCCACATTGTAGCACATTTCCCCGCGCCCCGCGAGAGGCGGGACACAGGCGCAGCAACCTCCCACAGGGCGAGCGAGTCGAGTGCCCCGTAAAAGTCAATAAATTCGACCCACCACCAATGAACGGTAATCCTTTGCGAAGAGCGTATGGGCTGTCCCCCCTCCCCGCCCCGGCTCCACACACCTGTGAGCGGTGACCGGTTTGTTCGCGACTCGCCGCTGGCCGCACCAGCAGCGCGGATGCGTGGCGCTCCGCTCCCCGCTCGCGACGCCCCCAGGTCAGAGGTCCCGGGGGCGGACAGCACGACACGCAGCTTCCCACTGCGCTGGCTGTGGAGCCCACGTCCGGTGTCGAGCAGCACCTCAGGATCGACCTACCGCCAACCAGCGCACGGGGGGGGGGGGGGCAGAAAAGGTCGAGACTGCCCGGATTTCCGGCGCCGCCGCTGATGGCTGCTCCCACGCGACGTGCGATCCGCGGGGGTAAGTTTGTTGTGCCAAAACTTAATTGCCGTCTTATTTTGCAGAGTGCGGTGTTCGTGACGTTGCAATATGCTGCAGAGGTTTTCCATTCCTTCCTGAGTTTTACCAGCACAATTTGAAGCATGTTCTGCAGTAAGTCAGACGTAATGAACGGGTATTGTACTCTGTATTAGCCCGCAATAAAGACTAGCCGCGACCGCTCCGTATCGAATGCCCTCTGCCGCGGCGTCCTCCGCGCTGGCCCGAGCCCGCCTGCCGCTGTCCAACCACACACTGCTCACTCCAAGCGCAGCAGCGCGCCCGTATTCACACATCACTCCGCAAACAGACATTGCATTCCTGGACGGTTTCAGGGTATTACACTGCCAGGCATGCCCCCGAGCGTGACTGCTAGTAGTCAAAGAGCGCAATTTCGGCATTATTCTCGGGTAGTACCAGCTCCAGGGACCGGGCCAGCTTGCACCGCCTGGCAACCAGCACCGGGCCAGCTCACCCCGCCTGGCAACAGGCACCGGACCAGCTCGTCCCGCCTGGCAACAGGCGCCGGGCCAGCTCATCCCGCCAGGCAACAAGCGCCGGGCCAGCTCGTCCCGCCTGGCAACAGGCGCCGGGCCAGCTCGTCCATCTGGCAACAAACGCTGGGCCAGCTCGTCCGTCTGGCAACAGGCACCGGACCAGCTCGTCCCGCCTGGCAACAGGCGCCAGGCCGGCTCGTCCCGCCTGGCAACAGGCGCCAGACCGGCTCGTCCCGCCTGGCAACAGGCGCCGGGCTTCACTCGACGACTGAGGTCTTTGTCGCAGTGTCAGCGGGCCTGGAGCGCGGCTGGAGCGGGGCTGGAGCGGGGCTGGAGTGGAGCTGGATTGGGGCTGGCGCAACGGTCACGGTGCCAACACACGACGAGCCAGCGCCCCCCCCCCCCCCCTCCGTACCTCTACAGCGACTCCTCCCCGCGGGGGCAGCGCCGGGTCAGACGGCGCGCCTGCGCCAAACTGCGGAGCTGTGCGAGCTCACACCTGCTGCTGCGGCGGTGACAGTGGCCGGCCTGACCTTGACTGCGGTGCACAGCCGTACACAGCTGCTGGGGGACGTGTCTATGCGCGCGTGCGTGCGTGACGGGGCGCAGAAGATGTAGACAGGAGGAAGCGTGCTGTCCGGGATTGTTCGCATGCACATGAAGCTCACCCGGTGTGAGAAGGAGGGCATCGTGAG